TGGGGGGGTGGTGTGGGGGGGAAGGGGGAGGGGGTGAAGATGGAGGGAAGGCGGGTGGAGAGGGAGGTGGAGCCTGGGAGTACGCCTTGGTAGGGAGGGGTTATGAGGAGTGAGGTTGTGGTGTAGTGAGGGTATTTGAAGTATGGGGATGTGGAACTGCTCACGATGGACTATACTGCTGTAGAGATGTATGGACACAAGGAAGAGATGAGATGTTTTGATATGATGGTATAAAGTTCTTTGATAATGTATATATCGTAACGCAACGTAACAGTGGTATCATGCAAGCACAAAACGCCGACCCAGATGCAAGAAAGACAATAACCTCTCCATAAACAAACGAAAAAGACAAAAGAAAAGACTGTCCAACGCCAGCGCTAACCTGTCAAACATTACAGCAATCAGTCAGTCAGTTTAGAACTTCTCAGGACTCCGGCAGTCCCTCCTCTCCTCCTCATTGAACCCCGCACGCTCCATCAACTTGGTGAACGTCGTGTTATTCGACGCAGCCGTGAACCTGTTCTCGTGCATAGCCGGGCCGCGGGGCGGCTCGAGGAAGCTGGGTGCGGGCATCAGGACGTCTATTGTTTCCGTGCTCTCGGCACGGGCAGGCGCCGGGCGGTACGACGGACCGGGCACCCTCGTTGTGTCGGAGTTTTGCGTGCGGCTAGTGCGGCGCTGGGAGTGGATGCGCTTTGGGGTTTGGCGGGGGGTTGTGTAGGGGTCGCGATCGCGGCCGGCGCGTACAGTGGCGGCGGCCGGGGCTGCAGGGGAGAAACCAAAGTTCAGGGATGGGGTGCGGTCCCACATACTCTTTATGCGAGGGGTGAGGCCTGTTCCAGTGACGGGCTGCCATGTTGTGTTGGTGTTGGCTTTGTTCTGGATCATGCCTGATGAGGAGTTGGGAGACGGCTGCACTGACTGCGAGCCCCGGCGCATGAAGTCTGTGCGGGCTGCGTGCTGGGGGTCGTAGATGGGGTCGCTGATCTGGCGGGTGACGTGTCCGAAGTCGCCCGAGTATCGGTTGGCTTGGGACTCGCGACGCTTCCTTATCACCCAGAGGAGGCCTAGTGCACCGAGGGCGCCGATGACGATACCCGGGAAGAGGCCAGCGGCAAAGGATTTACCGTCAAAGCCTTGTTGTGTTTGGACAGGCGCGGGACATCCCGAGGTTTGTGATGCAGATGCAGGGAGTGTGGAGGATGGTGTTGCAGACGCGGTGGAGGTCGCGGTTGTGGAAGACGTAGGAGTCGGAGAAGAGGATGTGTCCTTGGAGCACATGCTGCCTTTGCATGAGTAGCCCAGTGGACAGCACTTGTCTCCGCACGTGGGGAGCTCGACGTTTGTTGTGTCAGAAAGATGCACCTGGTTGTCTGGATGCAGAGTAGCATTGAGCTGAGTAACATCGCAGGTTATGGTCTGGACGTAAGCGCAGTCAGAGCCTGCCGGGCAGCAGATGACGGATTGCACGTCGCCGCTGTTGAGAGACATGCATGTTGTGTCTGCTGGGCAGCAGAAGCTGGATGGGAAAGTCCCTCCGCACTGCTGGAGGCCTGTGTTGCCCCCACATGTTGCCGCCTGTCGAGGGAAGAGGCTTGCTGCTTGTGTTGTTGTAATGAGTGATGTGAGGAAGAAGACGGTTGCTATCCTCGAGAGCTTGGAGAGTGACGGTAAGGGTGCCATTGTGGAGGATGTGACACGACCAGAGGGTCAGCGTGAGATTGATCGTCTGAGATTGGACGTCCGAGACTGGGTCGTCTGAGATTGACGCTGGAAAGGTTGGACCTGCAAACCTTGAAGCAGTCTCGAAATGGAATAACAATTTGCGTAGAGAACGGGATTGTCGATCAACGACGAATATAAGACTTGGCTAGATGAGTGAAGGGGCGTGACACAGATGGAGATATAGAGAGACAGAGCTACGAGGGAACGAATATATCAACTACCCATCCAGACATGGTCTGAGAGTCGACCGTCACGGTAACGCTGGCCACGCTGTCGTCGGGCTCTGCTAGACGCAGCCATGTAGTAGCCCATGTTCTGCAAATAGTGCAGATCAAGCGCCGAGTGGACGGCAGTCGCTGAATGGAGCTGTACGCACCAGGCCAGAGCGTAGCAGTGGCAGATGACTCTTTCTAGCTGTGTGGCTATGCGGTTGTGCGGTGTCGAGTGGATGAAACAAACATGCAGGCGCTTAGGTTTGGAGAGTCGCGTATGCACAGCAGGCGATTGGCTGTCGCGATCGAGTTAGCGGCGAGGCTCTCGGAAAAAAGACGGGCGACTGCAACGACATCTAGACAGGCCGTGACCGTTCGTCGACGCGCTCCCTCTCCCAGCACCCCACCGCCATTATGATAGTCCGCTGCCTGGCCCGCCGGCCGCTTGGGTTGCACGCTGTGGCTGCTGCTGCGACGCGGTCGACGAGACCCGCCCTTGCCCGCAGCCTGTACACGGTTGCAACGCTCGACAACCACGTCGAGCTGCAGCGGCAGGGCGTGCCGGGGCTGCTCACGGCCACGGGCTTCAAGGCTGCCTACACCGACTACCAGCAGCTCATGCTGGACGAGCTGAACGAGTCGACGGCTGGTGCGCGCCCTTGAGCCACCCCGCCCGCCGCCCACGCACTAACAGCGCTCACAGGCACGGCGTTTGAGAACCAGGACACCAAGTCGCTCGTCATCGAGTTCGCCCGCGACCCCACGCGCGCCTACGCCTTCAACATTGCCAGCATGGCATTCAACAACCACTTCTTCTTCCGCGGCCTCAACGCCAACCCCGCCGTGCAGTCGCAGCCGTCGTCGGAGCTGTCCATGCAGATCATCAAGGACTTCTCCTCGCTCGACACGCTGCGTGAAACCTTCCTCGCTACTGCAGAGTCCATGTTCGGCCCCGGTTTCATCTGGCTCGTCCAGACAAACGACACCCAGTTCGGCAGTCTGCGCATCATGCCCACCTACCTCGCCGGCTCACCACTATCCGGCGCACACTACAGGCGCCAGTCGCACGACCTCAACACCCACAACCCCGACTCGTACCAGCAGCTGAACAACGTCGGCTCGTTTGGCTCCGCCGCCAAGCAAAACATGGGGCCCAAGAAGCCGCTGGGTGGGATCGACGTCGTGCCGCTGATGTGCGTAAACACGTGGGAGCACGTCTGGCTACACGACTATGGCATCAGGGGGAAGAGGCAGTACCTCGAGGCCTGGTGGGACAGGATAGACTGGGACTTGGTCAGGCAAAACGCCACCCTCACGTCGAGGCAGGATCCGGGCGCAAGACAGTTCCACTATGATTAAAAGAAAAGAAAAGAAACCCCTCGTGTACCTTTTTTGTGTAGAAATACGTGTACAAACATTCTGGGTCGGCATATGGTCATGTCTGCATTGGACGGTGTTTTTTTGTGGCTTGTCATGTGGGTATGATTAAAATGACTTTCGTCTTCATATTCTGCTATGCCTGAAGTATCTTGCGTGGTTGTGCTGATGTCGTCCTAGCGAAAAGCCAGAACATCTATCCATTTCAGATGGTTTGTTCATGCCTGATTCACTGCACGTGCGATTCGTTAAGGAGAGAAGACGAAAGACCAGAGAAGACATGGAAGAAGAAAGCAATGCCTGTCAAGACCGCACCTTCTTCGTGCGAGCCCCACCTTTTCAAAGTTAGCCCCACTACCCCAACGCCAGTCCCGATCGGTCATAGCGTGAAAGAACGCTAGCGCACGCAAAAAATCATATAAGTAGAGGAACGTCCCAAACTCCAAAAAGATATACATACAACAGCGGGGATTCGCCAGTGGTCACCCACCTGACTACTAGTCCGCCGGTACGCTGCTTAAATAGGGCTGAGCGAACGGGAAGCCTTGTTCTCAGCGTCCTATGGTCGTATGTGGAGGATATGTAATGTTGTCAATCCTATAATACTACAATGTTGCTAACAACTAGTGAGATGATGGCTGGGCTGGGTCGTCACCTGGCTCGAGCCTGTTTCTCCGGGACATGCATGATGCTGCTACAGAACCCACTGGATGACGAGAGTGTCTGTTGAGCGATCCGTCATGTACTCGCTCGCGCCATGGACGACGGCGAGGATCAATATGATGGCAAATTCCGGAGCAAGAAGGGGCCCAATAAGGAAATCCCTGACACACAAAGTCATTCTGGTGCATTCGGCCTCTCGTAGCCTGGAATGAATCACCCGAACTTTGTACGTGATAAGGCGGAGGTGAGTAATGAGTATGGCCTAGAGGCGACATCGCCTGTCCCTTAACTCCATGCTTGCGTCGTATGAGTACGATTCCAAGAATGGTCAAGCAGATCACGGTAAGTCCCCCAATGGCTCCTCCCACTATAGGTCCAAGGTTCATTGGCTCTTGGTTGGAAGAAGTAGGGATTGGGCCTGATGTCGACGAGGAATTTATAACAGAGCTGGAGCGCGATGCAGGTACGGAAAATGTTTCTACGACTGTGGCTTTCGGTTGCGAAGCCGAGCTGGTCAAAGAGCTGCTGGGTACAGAGGTGGGACTCGATGGTGTTGTTGTTGCCTCTGCGGCGTTTGGAACCGGGAGAAGTGTATCGGTTCGAGTTTCTGCTCCACAAGCAATGTACTCGTAGGACTGATCAGGGCCGTTGATTAGAAGCACGGTGGAACAAGAACTGTGAGCGTTCGCTAATAAGTTTTAGCTCCAGAAACACTTTCGTCGTCTGACAGGCTATGGAAGGACTGACTATTTTGAGATTATAGCGTATTCATGCTTGCTGTAAGCAGATAGACGCAACACTGTAAGAATCTAGTATAGTAACTCAGTGTAGAAGCTAATACCCAGCCCCTTTGCACACAGTAAACATCAGTGAGAGCACACAGTGATAGTAACAGAGAGCTGATCAACCGTCTCTTAACGACTGACTGCTGAATGTACTAATGCGAACGCGTGTTCGAAAGCCCAGGCAGCTATTGATCGAAGTTTGGTTCGGAAGGAAGGACTGACTATAAAACAGTGGTGATATCCGCTCGATCAGACAGGCGGCCACAACCTTCAGTGCAAGAATGACTGTCCACGCATACTCCAGCTAGACCACAATCCTTTGCTGATATCACGGTTGTTGGACATAATTCCCATAATCCATTTGGGGTGTCCACGCGGCATCCGAGCTCTAATTAAGCGCTCGCTTATCTTTCGGGTTTAGCGAAATTGTGCTTGAAGATAACGGGTGGATCAAGTGTGTCTGCTCGTTGTGGGCAGACGCGCAGCTCTGCATTGAACTTAATATCAAGTGGGCACATTCACTGGGGTCTGCAGTCACCTTTGACTCCTTCGATGTTATATAGGTATCTCTTTGTGAGAACCTTCACCCAACCAACGTTTTTTTTGGCAACTGGAATCGTCCACTTCTTCCATGGCTATCTCAAGAAGCTTGCGATCGCTCTTCAAAGCCATCGCGTTACTTGCAGCGATCTTCCTTCTCATCCTTGGAATCGGTTTCTTCCGGTACAGCGACCGTGTGCTACGGACACAGCCCATTAGCACTGGGAACCTCAGTCCTCCTTCAGCGGGTCGGTATTTCATTGTTCTGATTTCATTGAATGACATGGAGAGCTCACAATTACCAGAGGAATCGGGTAGCGTGCCTATTGCTATTTTGCCCGCCGCAGCTCCGACTGGTCTGCCAAGGAAAGCAAATGACACTCTGCTCGCGCAAGCACCACCATATATCCACGCCATCTTGAATTCATCAGATTCAACATTTGCTCGTCTGGAGTGTCCACAGCCGGACCTTGAGCGTTATGCTTACCTGGGAGACTCACCGGACCAATCTGAAGCGTCGCAGCATCCTAGGTTTTTCTTCGCGCTCGATCTATATCAATGTGTTCACCTACTTCCACGATTGCTCGGTTCAATCATAGAAACAATCAGGTTCCTTGGTCCAGAGAACTGCGTGCTTTCCATCGTAGAAGGCCGATCCGACGACGGCACGTTCGAAGTCCTTGACGAGCTTCGTTCCAGCTTGCAAGCCTTGGGTGTGAAGTACTTCTTCCAAACAAGCGACATCAGTCCCATAGCCCCGGGAACAGACCGTATCGAAGCCCTTGCAGGCCTGCGGAACCTCGCCTTACACGACCTCCTCGCCCACCCAGCGCACTACAACCCAGACACCACCGTCATCTTCCTCAACGACATCGCGCTCTGCATGGAGGACATTTTAGAGCTCCTCCACCAGCGGAAATGGCAAGGCGCCGACCAGACATGTGCCATGGACTGGACGTACGTGGGCGACAACCCGACATTCTACGATGTCTGGATCGCGCGCGGCATGACGGGCGATTTATTCTTCAACATCCCCGACGATGGGAGCTGGGACTTTGCCTGGAATCTCTTCTGGAATGACGACAAGGCGCGCACTCGGCTCGCTGCTGCGAAACCCTTCCAGGTGTTTGCGTGCTGGAACGGTGTCACCGCGTTCACTGCGAAGCCGCTGTTAGACGGGCGCATCAAGTTCAGGGCGAGTGGACCGGGCGAGTGCTTCCAGGGCGAGCCGAAACTGTTTGCGAAGGATATGTGGGCGAACGGACATGGCAGGATTGCAGTCGTGCCGAGTGTGAATGTGGAGTATAGTGATGAGGCGGCAAAGAAGATCAAAGCGCTCAAAGGGTATGTGACGAGTCATGTTGCAAATGAAGGGGACGATGGGAGGATTGAGTGGGAGACGAAGCCACCGGAGAAGGTAAAGTGCATGCCGGATCATCAGCACCAGACTTTTGTTGATTGGGATGAGGGACTGAGGCCGAGATTACCGGAGAAGCAAACAAATAGGACATAGTGCACATTTGTATATAAAAACACCTGTAAGTACAAAGAGTTTGAGTACATCTCCATATTATCTGCGTAATCACCGCGAACGCTTTGTTTACGCTTGATCGTTGCGCAGATGCCAGACATGAGTGATAAGTGTACGACATTCGCTGGTTCTCAACGTCCTATGGTCCTATGGTCGTATGTGAAGGGTATATGTTATTGTTATGTTTAGAACGCTACTTGGCCAATGACCAGTGGACTGCTGGTGAACGTCTTGTCTGGCTCTCGGAAATATGGGCCTTGGGTAGGGTATACGTTATGACGTCCACCTTGTCCAGCTGGATTACAATATCGGTCTGAATGAGGAAGCAATAACTAATCGATGTAGCGGTAGTGGCGATTTCCTTGTCTGCGTTATAGTTAAGAGTGTTAAAGACTGCGATCTTGGACATAGTAAAGTAAAATTATCTTGAATGTCATCTCATTGTCTCATTCAACGACTATCTAATCCTTCTACCTGAGTTTAGCTTTTCCGTCTAGAGTATGACAGAACATGTTCTCTGCCAATTGCAACGCTGCATTGATCGAAAAGGTTACTGAAGGCAGCAAGCTCTTCTAGCGCGCAGCAAGTGGTCGACAACCTCGATATTAGATGAGAAGATAGTCTTGTTATACTGCCTGGGCTATACCTGAGGGTAGCGAAAACTCCAAATTGGTCTTCGAGTAACTAGCTCTTGGTGAAAGAAAAACTTGGCTGTATAACTTTGCGCCCTGTCTCTCATCACATACTGGGTTTACTCTAGTGCAACTGTCTTCAAACTGCTGAACTTCTCAAAGTTATTGCTTGCTGATCTATCCCAACGTATCTGGCTTAGTTTAGCTGTTCTGCATGCCCTCATTTTCCTCTGAATCGTTCAGAATTTCCCAGTCACCAATGTCTTTCTCATCTGCTTCCATGTCTTCAAAAGGGTTCGGCATCGCTGCTAACAATCTTGCCCGGAGCTCTTCAGTGAACAAGGTCTTGTCGTTATAAGCAGAACATTCTTGGAGCGTATATTTCCTTTTCTTTAACGCTTCTCGAATCTCGCGTTGGTGAAGGATGAAGGGTACAGTTCCATGATCCATTCCAGATAGGACATCAAGATGATATTGGCGATGCTCATACGCCAATTGCTCTGCAAACGCCTTCTCCTGCAGTGCAGGCGCTTGGCAATATAGAGAGGTGATGTAGACACCCAAACAGGATAAGAACATACTGTCCTTAAACGGGCAGTCCAAAAGGCTGTCGATTAGAGCATCCACCAAGCCTGCGAGAGGAGGAATGACGGCATTCACCAAGGTTTTCGTGGTGTTCGTGCCAACCCCAACAAGACTGAAGTTCCAGTCTGCAGCAGGAAGCAAAACGGTAGTCGTCGGCTCGGGAGGTGACATATCCGGTAGCGGTGGTGGCAGGTTACAAGTACGAGGGTGAAGTTCGGGCTGTTGTTCCGCTTCGTGATCACCTTGAGAAGGCGGTGTTAAACGACGCTGGGGGTAATCTACGATTGCGTTTCCAATTCTTCCCTTCTCTTGCCGAACGAGATTCCATCCTTCTTGGACAAGCACATGTGAAGCGGTCTCGATATCTGGTACCAGGATGTATAAATCGAACCCAATCGTTTGGACGGTGTAGAACCTGATAGCGTCCTCAAACCAAACTACACATGGGATATTATGGCTGTGCAAGATATGGCACGGTAAGTGTCGTGGATAAGTATTGATGGTCATCATTTGCTCGTTTGTAGGGAAGGTGGTGGAGGGCTTCGAATCGGTGCTTCGCGAGATACCTTCGACACATCAAAAGAGGTTTAGCGTCAGATATAGGTAACAAAAGCAAGGTCTCATAACTTGTAAACAAGCAAATCTATACAGCTTTGTATATAGAGTAGGCATAGACAATTTGTAAGAAATAATAATACAAAATGGAATGTGCATGTATATGTGTTCATAATATACTTTTCATGTTCGTGCTAAAAGTCCAATGCTGGTCTCTCTTCTACGCAGCTAGTCTAAGCAGTACACACAGCTACTTTTAACCTTATTTCTTCCAGGGTATTGAAGGGTCGTAAGAGCTACCTAGTACTTTACTCAACTCAGGCTCCGTCTGAAGATGCCAAGACTGAACAAATGTGTTGACACTGCTACGCAACGTTCGAGAGTCTAACAGCGAGCGCCAGTCGTAGCGTCATTCATCGTGAACTGAGAGGAACTTCAGCCTCGGCCTCAGCCTCAGCCTCAGCCCCGCTGCCGGCAGATGACAGCGTGATCGATTCCAGGCAGCGAGGCGTCAAACTGCCTGGCAGATCCGCTCTCGCTTCACTTGGATAACCCAGATTTTCATCTATAACACGAAGGAAATTTAATTTGACCTTATATTCCTCGTAACCTTCCAGGTCTTCTCCAGGTCGTTGAACATGAGCCACTCCCTTGACACTGACCTTGCAGGCTTAAGGCTTGATGTTACCGATGCGTACGACGATCCGATCGGCGCTGGAGGACATGACTCCAACGTTAATTCAGCACCTTCATATTACGGTTCGCTCGACGTTTCGACACAACAAATCCGACTCCTCCACCTTCAGCCCGGCAAGGATGACGAGCCAATACACTGCTACCTCAGCGTAGCATCTCTGGACCAAGACATCGAATACGAAGCACTCTCATACGTATGGGGGACCCTCGTTGATTCCGATCTCATCCAATGCAACATGCAATCGACGTGCGTCGGCAGAAATCTGTTCTTAGCTCTCAAAAGTCTTCGCTGTGATGACGACTCGGAGCGTGTGCTTTGGATCGATGCTCTATGTATCAACCAGGCGGACCTGAAAGAGCGCAGTAGTCAGGTGGCCATCATGGCCGAAATTTACCAGCGAGCGGCCCGTGGAATTGCATATCTGGGGGAGTGCTGGGATGGCTGTGAAGACGCATTCGAGGCTATACGCGAATTGGGAAAGATGAGGCATCTCTTTAGTCACGGAATTCCAGACAAAAACGGCAGTCCAAGAGTCAAAGGTGTCGGGCTGGAATCTCCAGAACTGCTGAACAACGTGCTAAGGTTCTTGGAAACGCCCTGGATTTCCAGATTATGGACGCTGCAAGAATTTCTGCTTCCACAGAAAATGATCTTCTACTATGGCCGAATGTCTGTTTCTAAAAAGACAATCTTTGTCCTCGCACATATGAGTGCTCGCGCTGTCAACAGTTGCTGTATGGCCGATGGAACTCACGATGGGAATAGGAGCTCGCGTTACAGAATTGCAATCGCTAGATGGAAAGCCTTCAAGGTTCGCAGCAACAGAGTGGTTCCGTTAGAGGAGCGGGCGTCTCACCTTCGGCTTTTGGAATGGTACCGCTACCGAGACGCGGTTGACCCTCGCGATAAAGTCTTTGGTCTACTAGGCCTGTGTGGAGAAAAATGGGCTAGAGTTAATCCACCAGACTATTCGATGACGGCCGAAGAAGTCTTCACGCGAGCAGCTTTAACTGACGCCCAGATTCTCAAGCGCCTCGACTTTCTTAGTTTTCGCAACGCAGAATCCATGCCGAGTTTGCCCTCTTGGGTCCCGGATTGGTCATCACGTACTCAGGAGGGCTCTGAAGAACGATATAGACGCGTATCCAACCTTTCTTACCAAGCATGTGGACCCTATGGAACATACACTGTACGTTCCTCCAATGGGCCATACGGAGTTGAGCTGGCCGTTATCGGACACGTGGTGGGCACGATTGTCGAACGCTCTTCGCCTATCGACAAGGCAGCCTGCTTGAGCGATTCCGAGCACTTCCGGAAAGCATTTCGTGAGATACGAACAATCACTCAGGCTGAAACAAACGGGAAAGATTTATATAGATTGTCTTATCGGCCCGTTGAAGAGGAGTACTTGTCCAGTCTGGTCTGCGGGATGAGAGTTCGCGATTTCGACAGTGATTTCGAACAAGGCCAGACTCCTGCCAACATATGGCAACGGACCAAAGATCTTTTTGAAGCTTGGGAGGCTTCTTACTGCGTGAACCTCAGCATCGACTTCCCGACGGGACTCCCTGTCAGCAAATTGAATGATGTGTTTGTCCAGAATATCCTCACACGATGTTTTGTTCGACTAGATCTCGACTGTTTTGGATGGGCCCCTTCGAATGCCCACTCAGGAGACCTTGTGGTCGTTCTTCACGGCGGTCGAGTTCCATATGTACTACGGCCAATTGGAAATGATTATTACACATTCGTTGGGGATGCTTACATCCATGGCATGATGAAGGGCGAGATCTTTCAGGCAATCGAAGACTTAACAGAGTCAATAGAGTCCATAGTTGAGGAGTTCATACTTGTATAAGCAATACGCAATACTTCTTCCATGACACGTTGAATGACAATCCTGGAAACATTGTGCTTATGCAGATCTATGTGATCATCGCCAAGCCTGTCATCGGTGCTATATTTGAGAAAACTGAGTATTCAGTAAACACACGGATGGGCAATCTAGTGCCAGCAGTGACGTATTTTGCAAAGGTGCAAAGTGGTTGAATGACAAGGGCTCTGGTGTGAGTGGGAAGCTGTAGTAGCGGTCAGTGCAGTCTTAACAGCATGTGCGGATGGCTTGGTCTGGTTACCATCGATTCTGATCGGAAGCTTACCTCTAGTTTGATGCCTTGTGGAAGTAGAAACAGTGAGCGTAGTTTGCCGCAGGTAGAAGACCTCGAAATAACACCATAACGGACAGCAAATTTAACAGGAGAGTTTATTTTCAACATCATATGGTCGTTTGTGGAAGATATTCACGAATAATATTTCTGCAAGCGCGATCACGCAGCTCGCACAGTAAGTTTATCATTTGTCTTTCTGCAGACCGTGCTGCGGCTAGCACATGTTCCCCAAGTACGGTCCCGCGCCCTTACAAGGGGGTGGTATGAACGTGCAAGTTGTTTACAAACGTTGCTTCAGCTGCCCAGTCCAGGCCATCTAATCAGAGCTTGGCTACCGTTATCTCATGAATCAGACGTTCCACAGGTGCCTTCTCTAAGGAGATTTGGAGCACTAGATCAACGCCACAATTTCTGAATTAATCAGATGTTGACAGATCATTCAAGGCGAAGACTTTTGCAGAAACTCATCTACACAGGTAGTAAGAGAAATGTTGGCGTAGGGTACATGTACCCGCTCACGCATGGTGTAATTTTGAGAGCTGTACTCACTGACTCATATCTTGACCAACTTTTGTGTCGCAACCTTGAAAATTGAAGGCAAATTGAAGAGGAGATCAGTATCTTTCAAATAACATATCTATTGTATTATATAGGCTGATACTAGCTGTAGAAGTACAACGTTCATCTGAGAACTTGCTTACCCTCAGTAATCAAATCTTGCCTCACTAAGCCCTGAATTATTTTCCATTAGACACTCCAGTTTGCGATGAAATTGTGAGCTAAATGATTAAGGTACAAGCTAGATTGACATTTTACCGGGCCGTACTTAGAGCTTGAGCTAAAATTCAGCTAGACCGGGCGTCTGTATCATGAGATCAGGCTGCCTGCCGATACAAGCCTAGTTTATCATAATTACAATAGTTTGTACTGTAGCTGATCAGTATAGCTTCCAAAGGGAAATCCAATAGGAACCTTGTTTTCGCTAGATTGGTAAAGAATTCAAGAACGTTCATCAGCAGTGGAGCACTTCGTATTATTTGCCTGTTCATGCCACCCCCTTGTTGCAGCTGCAGGTGGCATCACCTGTTCATTTAGCCATCGTCCAACAAGTCCATCATCATTGCCAATTATCTCGGAATGCAAAAGTTAGGCCGCTACATGAATTCTTTTGTGCATATCAGCCATCAGCAGCAAACACATGCTGTATAGCACGACCACATCGGGGCATTCCTCTCACTCTTATTGAGACTAGAATTATGAGCTATAGTTTCCCTGCCACAACTCTGCGGGTTGTTTAGGACTCGTACTGCCTGGAACTTCTGCTATGTACTGGCCATGGTTCCCTGTTTGGTGTTGCCATGGTTGAGAATCACTCGTCACTGTTTGAGAGTACCCCTCCTTTGGATTGTGACCAGGCGGATACTGTTGATAATGACGATCTTCATCATGTCCTACATCTCCTTGATTTTGCTGTGCCTTCTTGTTCTTACGTTTGCGTAAACAAAACCACATCAGCGCAGCACCCAAGGCTATACCGATAAGGGGCCCTACGATAACGCCAGCAATCCAAGTGTTACTCTTCGATGATGAACTTGGAGTAGATGTTTGTTCTGTAGATTGTGGTGTGCTGGAGCTTGAGGAGGCGACACTGGTGAAAGTGGCGGCGATTCTCGAGGATGTTGGTACGGCAGATGTAGTACCTATGGATGCATTCAGTACAAAGACCCTTGGTTCCGATAGCTTGGGAACCTACTACTCGACTGAACTGCGACTGTGCTAGACGCTTTCACAAGGCCATTAATTTTGAATCCAGGCGATGAGATCTGCTGTGTATACGGATCCGCAGAGTCGAAGAAAGTGAAGCGGAACACCCAGAAATCCTTTTCCGAAAACGCATTGGAAGCTATGTTTACGTTCCAATCGTAAGATGAGGTCGTGGTGAGATCGATACCGCCTAGGCGCAAGATCAGTCTTTATTGCATTGTGAGAAAGTTTTAGAGCTTTACTTACGACCAATCTTAGAGGTGTATTTAGTCCCATTGAAGTTGGTGATCCAAAGATCGAGTTTTGTGGTATCGCACAAAGGGCAATAGCTTTCGAAAGAATTTTGGAGGCCTGACTTCCAGAGCAGAGTGAATTTTGTGCCACTCTGTAGCGGTGTAGATCCGTCAGGAGCTGCGGGTGCAGTCCAATCATCCTGTACAGTTTGGCACCGTATTCGCAGTGGGAGGAGAATAAAAGCCAAGATGAGAGAAAAGTAGAATTCCATGGTTGTTGAAGTCCCACCACTAAGGGTGTACTATGATGGCGTGAAGGGTCGCGCGGCGAGGCTGCCCTTCGGAATAGAGAATCAACCTGTGTATAAAGGGGATATTGGGTGACAACAAGACTGAAAATTACATTTGCGGCACAGTTCTTGCATATGCAGGAGGTCTGTTGGTTTCGAGGTTACCAGCGCAGGGCCAATACATGTGATTTGCTGTAATTGGACCAATCATATGGTGTTGTTGACTGAAGCCAATGTACTGTGGCAGGGATTGATGCTGGGGTACGTGCTTAAGTTAAAAATACTTTACGCGCCGTGTTAAAACAGATTGCCGTCATGCGCGGCGCGACTCGACACACTTTTTACTTATCCTCCTCCGTGGCAGTTTCTTGCAATTCAGATCACACCTCAATGTTCGAGAGGCAAGTCATGTTTTTCAGAAGATATAGATGGCCTATTTTCCTTATCGTGGCCGTCACCTTTCTTGCCACAATAGCTCCACTTTCTGCTCGCTTCGCACCATCTATGAGCCCAATCTTTCCCATAAATGATCACAAAGATTCCGCTCCATCAACAACAGTCTCCCCTGATCCTCTTCGAAGCTCTCATGCCTGCCCTACGACGCCACCAACTCCAGCGCTCATCCCAGACACCCAAGGTCGATTTGACTGGAGAACTATTCCAAGACGCCACTCCATCGACCAGTACTCTCAATTGCCTTTGGGGAAACCGTCACCCAGGCCTTCTGTGCAACACACCTTTGGGGCAGCGTCGATAGAGGCGAAAAATGGAATCGCCTCCCGCAAAGAGGCCGTGCGAGAAGTTTTTAAGCGATGTTGGAAGTCTTACAAAGACCGAGCATGGACGAAAGACGAGCTTGCTCCTATCTCTGGTGGAGCTAGATATACCTTTGGAAGTTGGGGAGCCACCCTAGTCGACACCTTAGACACCCTTTGGATCATGGAGATGAGGCAGGAATTTGCAGAAGCTGTTGATGCTGCTGTCCAAATCGATTTCGGACCGAAGATCGATGGCGAGATCAACGTGTTTGAAACAATTATACGTTATCTCGGAGGCTTTATAGGTGCCTACGATGTATCCGGCTGTCATGATGCACGACTCCTGAACAAGGCTATCGAGGTCGCAGACATGGCATATGCCTCATTCGACACACCAAACAGGATGCCAGTCTCGAGATGGAGTCCCAAAAAAGCCGTAAATGGGGAAGAACAACTACCAGCAGAATCAGTGCTGATCGCTGAAGCGGCCTCTGCCAGTGTGGAATTCACCCGCCTCTCGCAACTCACTGGAGATATGCGATATTTCGATGCCATCTCAAGAGTGACAAATGTGCTTGATAAGCAACAAGGATCAACCAAACTTCCAGGCATGTGGCCTATCAGTGTGAACATGCGAAAGCCAGATTTAACTTTTGATGGTTTCTTCGGCCTTGGTGCGATGGCAGACTCCGTGTACGAATATCTTCCGAAGATGCATCAACTACTCAACGGGATCGGTCCAGTAGCAGCACAGTATCACAGGATGTACGAGTATGCAATGTCTACTGCGATAACCCATACATTGTTTCGTCCCATGGTGCACGACAATGCAGATATCTTGATCGCCGGTGCTAACGTAGATGGAAAGAGGGATGACAAGGGCCAGCACCTTGTATGCTTTGCTGGTGGCATGTTTGCTCTTGGTGGGCGGCTCTTTGAAAATACTACCCATATCGATATTGGTCGTAGGATCTCGGAAGGCTGCGCCTGGACATACAAGAATGCACCAAATGGAATCATGCCAGAAGTCTTCTCGATGACCGCGTGTCCTACTTGGTCGGCATGCGATTATACTTCCCAACCTGACTCGAGTCCTTTCAGCGAGGTTGGTGACGGGAGGTACGTTCTCAGGCCTGAAGCGATTGAGTCGATATTCTACATGTACCGAATCACGGGCGAGGCAAAGTATCAAGATATCGCATGGGAGATGTTTCAGGCAGTTAGCAGCCATACTCGGACGGAATTCGCCAACGCTGCGATCAGAGACGTCATGAAGACGCCAGTGGAGAAGTATGACAGTATGGAAAGCTTCTGGCTGGCCGAAACACTAAAATACTTCTACCTTATCTTCAGCGAACCTGACGAGATAAGTCTGGACGATTTTGTTCTCAATACCGAAGCGCACCCATTCAGGATACCGTCCCGATAGTTGTTCGCTGCTCTCAAGACTATGTCTCCATGTAAAAAGGGACAAAATTCAGGGCTTTATCCAGTATATCTTGACCCTTCCACGCCAATCCCTTTCGTTCGAGTGTATCCGTTTATCCTTTTGAAATCGGATCTCCAACTCGCCACATCTTGATCTCAAGATATCATTACCAAAGCGGCATGGTGATGGCCACATCCGTCGCAAGCAACGCAGAGTGTCCTACGTATCGCGAACCTCGAGAAGTACCAGAAGGCCGGACGCCAATGCCAATTGGACCACTTGCGTTGCCCGCTTGTGGCCACTGATCCTGTGATACTCAACTTTCTTCGTTGATATTACTAGGAGCCACGCATACAACGGCTGTCTCCGGCATTCGTTTCGCGAACGATGCTGCAACAACCTATGGGACAATCTGTTTGGCGTGCAGATCATACATAGTGGTCATATTGAGATCTGGATATGTGGTTACAGATCCGATGCTAAGCATAAACGTGGTAGGGGTTGAAGCCTTCAAAGACTCCATCACTTAAAGCTAAGGCAAAAAAGTGACGACAGAACAGATGGATATATCCGTCTTTTCTTCCGTCAACATAATCGAATACCTGTTGAGATACTAGCATAATGTCCTTGTTGAACAACATGGCTACAGCCTACTCTTCGTGCGCAATTTTCCACCGTGCTTGTCAATAACCAAAAGTCCATAAACAACAAAGTTTGTTGATGTTGGTGTACTCTAACAGAAGGACTATAGTTTGATAGATAGTGGATGTAGTGTATTGCAAAAGCCTGCAATAATAGTCTCCCCGGCTGAAGAGGTATCACCTGATCAGTCAAAGTCTCCAAAGGCTGTGCCAAATATCTTAGATAAGAAAGTTTATGGTTCTATTGTAATCTTACACCGCACAAAAGACGTCTGATACATAATTGGCAGTGATAAGTGATTAATGCCGCCGGTATCTTGTCGCGTTGGGAGCCAGTCCGGGGAGTGATACTTGACCCACTTTCCGATCGGTATGAGTAGGTATATTGTGGACTAGTTGATATAACGAAGACTTTCTAGAGGTCTTCTAATCATTCAACCGGTTAAGACTTGCAAACCAGCAATCATGTCTTACAGCAAGCTGAAATTAGATTTAATGTAACTTTTCCAACCACAAGAACAGGCCGGAGGAGCTTTTGAAGATGCGTTTTGTTATGATATGGTAAATACGTTACATAACCAATATCTGACCCTACATGCGTTACTATGGCAGAGTCTGCACCGTCTTACTTCTTATTCACGTAGCACTGATCTACAACAATAGCGCTTGTCAGACTATGTTCTAAGACACCCCTTTTGAATGTCACATTATTCTTCACCGGAAACGTTGTGGTCAAGGCTGTGGTTACCATTACGTTTAACATCTGATGCAGATCACCCGAACATGTAGAGAACCTATAGATTTCAGCACCTTAAACCATATCAACCATCTGTAGTCAATGAAAATTTTTACAGTTCGATTTCACGTTGGCACGGAGCAACATCCCACGCCGTCCCCATAGATCACCGTCTGGCCACAGCGACTATGGTGGAGTACCAGAGGATTGAGATGAAAGGTTTCAATCCAATAGTTTGGAACAAGCATTTGCCGTTATAGGAATATGTTTGCGCGGGGACGCCGTCCGCTGATGGCTGCCTGATCATGGTTCGAGTAATTAGAAGGTCGCACCTGTAGCCTAAGATCCCCACACGTATTTAGCCAATCGCGGACACTTCTCGAATGTGGGTCTAGCGGTGTGATACGTTGCACTTTTACTAAAAGAGTCGACACTATGTGACACCTTGGATTGACTCTTGTTCAGATGAATTTGGCAGAAAGCGAGGAAGGGAGGTAGGTACCGTTATTGAGGGATATGACAATGGCATATGCTAGAGACCGGAGAGGTTTGTCTGTACTGATGGGCAGTGTCCCTGGCAAGAAGTGCGGAAGATGGTGTTTAGTGTCTTATGTCAGTGGGCGTAAGATGACAGACTCAAAGAGGGTTCGTACCACTGTAACGATCATCACTGTGCATAGCAAGTAAATGGCCTTCACCACTGAGAATGGATGGCCTTACTGGCTGAGAGAGTGTATAAATACCTTCATCTCGCAGACTTATTGAAGGACCACCATCGCTCAACACAACTGCAGTACCTCTTTCTTCAAGCAAACACCACCTCAAGAACCCACCATGCACGCCTTCAAGATCGCCGCTCTCGCCATTGCCGCAATGGCTAGCGCTGTCGTGGCGGACAACTGCTTCGAAGGATATCTCTACTGCAGCGCGAACCTCAAATCCCAGGGTAAGAGCCTTTTGTATTAGCTCGATTTCATAAAGACAGCTAACGGCCATTTCTCAGGAGACTACACCTCTACTATCCACAATGCTCTGGCAGCTCGCGGCCAGCCCACCGACCAGGGCGCCGTCAACAAGGCCTTATTCGCTTGCCTCCTCGACGGCGAGATCGCCTTCACCCAGATGTGTCGCGGCGACTGCATCAACGAGCCCTTCGGAACGCAGAGAAACGACCACTGCTAGAGTGTCGACTTGTACTTGCTAATGAAAATGGAGGGGCAATTGATAACGGTGGAGGGGGTGAGTGGTAGGAACAGCTGTAGCTGGTGACTCTCAAAAGGAGGTGTTATGGTGGCCCATGCAGTAACAGGTTTGCTGTCCAATCTTGTCCCAATCGTAGTGAGCGCTCAGATAGAGATAGGAGAAAACGATGGTGCCACCGTGCACGTAGCCGATATTGATTAACTCGTCACGTGGTTGAAAAACCTATTGATCACATACTAGTGAGTTAGTCTAACTAGTGTAACTTGATCCTAAGAGCATAGAAAGCTTCAGGAAAGTAGCATTTTAGTAATGCTACATCATGGTTATGACTGGGAAGAGTTTTGGTAGCAAGCACGTATCTACATAAACAAAGCTGTACAAATATTGGCCTCAGGATATACTGGCTGCATACCGAGAAGGACGAGAAAGCATACGCAGATAAGCATTTTACGATGATTCTAATGGCAACAACATGATATACGCTTCGTTCCGCATAATTCTCGTCTGAATTTTGAGTCCGCCAACCTGTTTTGAAGCGCATCCATTGCCATTGCCGCACTAATAGTTGCTGCTGGCATATAACCCACTTCAATTTCGAAATCATGTACTAAGTCGTGTGAAGTATTAATCTTGAGATTTTAACATTCATACAAGAACATCAGACGCGTATTGTTTGACAAAACCAACTACCTTACTGATTACCCGTATTTAGCGAAGACTATCTTTTCATTACTACTCGTGTACAAAATTTGCATTGAGTAAGACGGATCGTTAGTTTAGATATGTATTAGCTACGCTACTCACAGTATCAGGCGTTGGCTAGGTTTCTAGGCAACAACCTTGGATCTTCTTCCTTAGGTATGTTATTGTATTGGATAATAGTTTGAGATGACGTTAGTATATAGGAAATCTATTTGTCAGAGGGTTGTTCTAATAAAACATCTTTCCACTTTCTAATTTCTGACTCTTGATGGGTGCTATTCCCAACGTTGTAACGAGGTGACGTTTACGAGATGACCTCTCTTCCTCTGACCAGAAGCCTAGAAAAATCTTCCGTTGCAGATGTCCAGATAGTCCAGCACCCTTCAACAACGTAAGACCTTTGGCTTCGACGCTCGCTAGGATAGACACGATGCTAAACCCCTCGCCGATCGCTGCGTGTGGCCAGTACAACACTCTCGACGCAAGCGACAGTATTAGTATCACTGGACTAAGCAGTAGTACAAGCGCTATCCTCCAGTCTCGCTGATTCACCACCGCCTCGATTTCTTCGGTCATTATGGAGTCATAGTGCATGGCCTGTCGTTGAGCGGCATCAGGGACGCCTTCTTCATGGGATGTCCACGTCTCTGGACCCCACCAGGCTACCATGCGTGCCCACACCATGAGGCCCAGCGGAACGGCATTGTTTTTTCGGGATTTCTCTGCAGAGTCGTTTAGGGCACTTGAGGGGCTTATCGAGCGGAATCGCGTGTCGTATTCTACTAGGGCGTAGAGGTACAATTCGACTATCGAAACACGGTTGTCGGTGAAGACTCCGTTATCCAGCACCGGCTGGTGATCATTCGACTTGGCACTGTGAAGCTGGATAGTCGTTGGGGTAATATGCCAGGTTGCATTATACCTCTGACGCCAGAGCTCGTAGTGTTGTGCACGACTACCAAACGTTTCATTGTTTGTGACGTTGTAGGCAGCATAGTAGATATCGGTATTGTTGTATATGCTGGGCAACACCAGCCCTATCCGATACTTGTCGCCATCCCAGACCCAAGTGCTGGATGCATAAAATTCGTTGAAGTCTTCGTTCGCCATCATGTCATTCAAGGTGTCAGCGTCGAGGGATGTATTATTGCTGAGAGAGCACACGAGTGCAGTGACCGTACCGGTGACATACTTGGTTTGTCGACTTCCAAGACTTGCCTGAGCTTCGAGCAGGTACGTCGGCATTGGCCCATCAAGGATCACAGCGGTCCGTTCATCTGGCACATAAGTATTGAACCCATAAGCTTGCTCTTCCCCGCCGCTGCCTTGAAACCAGGGCAAGGTTGCATTCACAAATTGTGAGAGTCCGTACCCTATGTTTTGCGTGCCCGGTGGGCCTGTCAAGCCCGTCGACACTTGAACAGTTGCACTACCGTACCTCGCCGTACCATCGCCTAACCTCTTGTACGCTATGCTGAGCATGGGATTGAGTGCTAGCATGATAACTAAAACAAATCTAAAGCTCCAGTCTGCTTTATCGGCAAAGGGGTCGGAACGGAGGACTGCGTCGAATGTTTGAAGTGTAGACGCTTGAGAGTTCGTAGCGAGGATCAAGAACATGCGTCGCAGTGGATGTTGAGTGCACCATCCCATGATGGTCAGACACAGACCGATCCAGATGAACTGCCCATCTTGACCGAAGTGTACTGCCAATCTCGGGACGAAAACCACGACCATGGCGACCGAAGATGCCATCAAACATCCTATCAGCGCGAGCTGGTCTTTACGGGATATTTTCCTGTTGGCGACTGGCTTGCCAAACTTCTCTGGCGTTTGGATAGATGTAGAGCGGGATAGATAAGCTTCTGCTGGTTCGATGGTTGTCGTTGTAGCGTTCTTTCCCCCTACAACAAACATCGTGTAATACCCCGATTCCATCGCAGGATCTTGTAAGAAGGCACGTAGTTTGCGTGCAGGTTGGCGTAGCTAGGTACCGATTCGGGTTGCTGTAAAGAGGGACAGTTAGCGCATTGCAACGCACAAGGCTGAAGCAGCTACATATGTAACTGACTTTAGGGGAGCCAAATTGGCCATGTCGGCCAGGATAGACGCTGAGCCATGCGGGAACGCAGCTCCAGATGAACCCGCATGTAGTCTGTGCGGCACCACGTAGCCGCCGATCTCTCTGATTCGCTACACTTGGCGCTAATCTATGTTTCCATGCAAGGCTAAACCAGGCCTAAATTTAAACCAATATCGTTACAGAAATCGCGTGTTCTCGCCTTGCTGTGCCGTCTGTAGGTTTGCCAGGTACCATTCAACAGGCTCTGAAACTCTAGTGTGTACTCATGCATGACTTCTCATTGCAATCCAATGCCAATCTTGCTCTCCCGATAATGCATTCATGTTAGATCAGCGCTTGCAGGCAGAACTCAATCTACTTAGTAACTTGGCGGCTATGGTCGTCGAGCTCCGACGATAGCATCGTGCTGAGGAGATGACAACTCATTACAGATGTTCGAGTTTGCTTCATAGTTACATGCCAAACACTCCAACTTTGTAAGCGAACTCAAGCACCGCTAGATCTCGATCAAGCTGCCAGTCCCGAGCACGACTGCGGGATAAGGTACCATTTCATGATGAATCCAGACCGAACAATCTATCCAGTATTAACAACGGCTAGGATCAGGCGCCTCCAGTTTCAGTAAGCGCTATGCCCACTGGGCCAGACGTGCTTCCTTCAGAAGCTACGCCACCCGAGCTCTAGTATACCCATCGACAACCCTCTACATTGCCCCATGCAAGCACGCATTTCGTGTTCGATTACACATTTCTTCTAGAATCGTTTCTTTACTCGCTCCATGTTCCACTCTACTTCCTAGAAGCTACGATTGCAACGCGTCACTACCCTTTATTCTGGTTACATTGCCCTCCGCCATGTCTCGGCTGAGAGCTTTCGCCTTCGCGACCTGGCTGTTGACGGGCGTGTTATGCGATCAGGAGTTCATCAATCCGCCCGCTTTTGGAAGATCTCTTGATTACAGTCGCAACCCTGTCTACACCGAAGGTTCAACTGTCAATATTGTATGGACAGCAGGCGAATTAGGGAAAAAGTGCTCTCTTGTACTCTATCAACTCAACGAGACGGATGGCCAAACTGTTGGAGACTGGGAATTTCTAACAAGTACGAACACCCTTTCCCGGATATCGTAAACCTGCGTCGTGCTAACGACCCTATTAGGAGATGCAGTTGACGTAACAAGTTACTCCTGGCTCGTTGGCACAGGGAAAAACCTTTCGGAATCCAACCTGTTCTTCTTCAGTTACTATCAGGAAGAAAAGTTTGTGTCCAATATGAACAGTCATTATTTCAACTTGGAGGCAAAAGACACTAAAGACCAATCGTCATCGTCTTCGTCAACCTCCTTAAGCGCAACGTCAAGCGCAACGCTAAGCGCATCGTCGACTGCGAGCCCTTCAATCAGTACTTCGATATCCAAGCCGACAACAAGTTCTTCGGTTACCAGCAATCCTACCAGCGAGCCTACTAGCACGTCCAGTTCCGACAGCAAATCTAGCACATCGCTACGCTCCTCGGACGGCTTCACAATGGGAGCCCTGATTGGTGTTGGAGTAGGGATATTGGTTATGATCATTTTGTGTGTTGGGGCTGGCTTCTTCTGGCTCAGACGCCGCAAGAGGAGACGCAATGTGGTCAATGTGTTGCCACCTTCCCCCAAAACCGACTACCGACAGAACAACGGCAGCTACTATGGGTCGAATCTGAACGAGGCCCCACCAAGATCGCCGGCGGAGATGGGTCAAGATTGGGGTTCTTACGCTGCACATCACGATCGTCAAGCTAGGCAGGCCAGAGAGATGAGCGCTGAACCAGTGCGCTATGAGATGTAGGAGTCTTCTGAGTAAATGGCATGAACTGTAATAAAAAACGACTTTGTGCGGACAAGAGGATATACAAATGCTCGAAGGGAGCATAGGCAGGGCAGGAACCCTCGAATCGCCTGAATTTGAACTAGTCATAGGCTTGTCTCAAACTAATGTATATAATGATACTGTAAAATCACAGGCCTCGACCATACGAGCCTTTGGAAGAGAACATGAAGACAAAGGCGGGAAAGTTTATGAGCTTCCAGCAGATTAAAATGGACTAAAAAAATTCTATTTGTGGAAGAAGCATGATCTCCTTCCTCGAAAAGTCCAAGATATTTTAGCAATACATTCTCCTCACCCCCCACCCTCCGACTAAGATGCTCGAAGACTTCCATGATAGCGTATGCATTTGTGTAGGTTCATTTTTTCCTCTCAGTTGACATCTTCAACCGTCGTAGTTGTTTTCCCCTTCTCCGCCGCCTTCTCTCCCGCAATGAGCTTCTTCGTGCGGAATTCTGGTGGAACTGTTAGCGGATGCTTCATCAAACGAGCGATATCAACGCACTGTCCTTGTTGACCATCTTGTTATGCTTCGCTTTCAACGAAGGCCAGGGCAATGTACTTGACGGCGCTTGTTCCACTTTTGTCTTGACATAGGTGTCCCGTTCTCCAAGATCTCCGCGTTCTTCTTCAATCCTGTCGTAGAATGTTATCAAATGGACGCTCTCGATAGGGACTACGTCCCGTAGAGGACCGGGCGTTACCAACGGTGGAGAGGGCTTATACACAGGAGAGAAGCCTGGGGTTGGAGTAGAAGAGAATAAGAATACAAGTAGAAACATCAACTGGATTGGGCGGTATACAGCGTACGGCGAGGCTTCCTGGGTTCACGGCCATGATCTGCAGGACTATTATGTTTGTCAAGTACGTTCTGCATTCGTCAGATATGGGTGTACTAGTCTCCGAAACCAGGCACAAAAAGTTACCAGACCAAGAGGCGCGTTGATGTTCATAATCTTGTGATTTTGGGGTGTTATGGCCTTGTGTCCACGCTCCATCCAGCCAGCAAGTGATTTCACTACGCTTCCACTCTCGATTCCTGTTTACTCCCAGATTGCCTTCAGCTTCATATACCACGGCCCTGAAACTTTCCTCTGCGGCTCCTCATCGGCAAGCACCTGTTCCAGACCTGTTTGCATATCCACCTCCCTCGGGTCATAGGCCCACGGCTCGCTCCAATTCAGGATTTTGTGACCGAAGTAAAACACCAAAAACAACGGAATACCCACATATGCTGTGAAGAAACTGCTGACGTCCCATTCCGACGGGAAAAACACGTTGAAGCCATTGATAAGGCACAAGAACGTGAAGAAAACGATGATAATCCATGCGCCTGTCTTTCCGAGTGGCGAGCGGAATGGTAGATCGGTAATGTTTTGTGCGTCTACCGCTTTGCGAAATCGGATGTATACAATGCCGCAGCTGATCCACGATATGAAGCCGGAAGTGTTGGTCAGGTTCACAAACCAGCTGATTGGGGTCAGTAGAATTCAGTAGTGCTGAGATATTGTCACTTACTTGAACACCACAGCAGAATCGGATCCGACATTCAAATAAGCAAGAGCAGCGAACAGCGATGAGCAAGCCACAGCCCAGTATGGTACACCGGATTTGGAGCACGTTTTGAAGATCTTAGGTGCGTGACCGGAGAGCGCAAGGGAGTAGAGGGATCGAGATGAGAGGAAGAGGAACGAGTTTCCAGAAGACCAAGCACTGATGATGATTCCGGCGTTGATGATCGAGTCGAGAACTGGAATACCAGCATTCTTGATGCCCACGACGAAAGGAGAGGCACCTGCACCCTTTTCTCCGCTTGTGATCGCCGGGTCGTTCGAGGGACAAATGACGCCGATGGCGAGGACGCTGCCAATGTAGAAAATGACGAGGCGGTAAATGTATCGGCGAGCCGCAATGGGAAGATTGCGACGCGGACTTTTCATCTCGCCGCCAGTAACGACAAGTAGTTCGGGGGCGAAAACGAATGGAAAAGCGGACAAGACCAAAGTGGAGAGCAAGGCGATAAAGCGTCCCGTGTTTCCGGTTTCGAGGTACGTGTTTGCTGCGCCGGGGTTCTTCCAATACCTGAACCCTAAGCGGTCATTGTGAGGTCCACCGCCCAAGAAGATGATGAAGGACAGTATCAGCAGTCCTACAATCATGATGACCTTGGTCCCTGCAAACCAAAACTCCGTCTCTCCGTAGAATTTGACCGGAAACGCGTTCAGTCCAACAATAACGACGATCATAATGGTGATCCAAACCGCGATATTGACATGCGGATGCCAGTACTCGATGACAAGTCCGGCAGCGGTGATCTCGTAGGGTACCAATATTCCAAGAGAGTAAAAGTACAGCCAGCCAAGCGAGAAGCCCATGGAGCGTGAGACATAGCGGTGACCGAATAGGTTCATGGACGATCCTGGTGTTGGAAGATACGCTGCGACCTCTACAATGGCGGAAACGATGCACCACACAAGGAATGACATCACTATGAATGTACCAAGAATAAACGCTGGACCACCGCGATGTAGTGTCTGACCCGAACCGACGAAGAGTCCAGTTCCGATGGTGCCTGATTGATGTCAGTAAACAGTCGACCGTTTTTATAGCAAGGGCAGCTGATATATCTCTAGAGTTCGCGTCGCCAACTTCTTGGCCAGAGACGACTCTCCAATTGGCTTGTTACAGTCATGTAACACCAGAGTTATACCAGCTGCTCTTTGTAGTGTCACGTTGCAACTAACCTCCTAGAGCGATCATTTGGGCATGTCTGTGAGATGTTAGTGATGTCTCTGCCATGAGATGCTAAGGTAAGCGTACCGTGACTTCAATCCTCTCTGCGTGGTTTCGTATCGCTCGTCGAAGATCTCTGCCCTGAGAGCATCTGGGTCGACGGCAGAGCTCTTTCTTCTGCCTGCCATTCGATTCGTAGATTCCACATTCCCAACTCCATAATCGACCGCCCCTGTAGACGACTCGTTGATTTTCTTCTCAGACATACTGGTACAAATGACCCAAATTCAAGCCTTGGAATGGCAGTTGGAAAGGTGTGAGTTGAGAGGTGCTTGGAGCTGCGTCCAGGACCTATAAGTGCAAACCGGGGTCTCACATTACTTTCGGAGATCTCATGCAGTGCAGATAAGAGGGTGCCATGCCATCATACCAAGCTTGTACCAAGCAGTCAAGTTGCAGCGCTAGTAACGCCCATATTGAGCACCAAGGATAATTGAGCCGCACCTGGCCATTGTTTAATGCCTCGCCTGACCCAACAAAGCCGCGATTTCTGTGAGGAAGGGCCCAGAAGGCAAGCTTTTTGTGTTGAGAAATCGTCGCTAGCATCTGCTTGAGTCGTCGCTCAGCCTGAGAGGGCTGCGATCTCAAATGGATAACGGCGGGGCCGACATACTGAGATAAGCGTGATAGGATTCAATGCTCATAGCTTGTCAAATTAGCCGAAGCCGCCGATCCTGGTGTTCTTGGAAGCTTGAAGAAGACAGCCAAGAGGAAATCATAATGCGCGTCGAAGAGGGTGTTGAGCGTTTGTGGGGTAATGTTCTTAATGGTCGGAATCTCTCCCGAGTGTCGCGTGTCGCAAGCGGAGCGATGACCTCGAGTGCTAGTTTCTGGAGACTACGCAGGGACCCGACCCCCACATGATGCCTGGTACTGTGGCTTGCGGGTAGAGTCAGTGGTTTGGAGATAAGAATTGTCGTTATCGGTCGATTGCCGAAAGAAGTGCAGGTCCGAAGTCTGATTGGACGCCACTCATAGTAGCCTGTCCATACCCCAACACTTCTCGTATCATCATTCTTTGCCTCTTCGCGTCTCTCACACCTACTCTGAAATATGTTGTTGACCATGAGGTGAGAAATTGAGAGTGCAGGAAAAGTTATGATAAGACTTTCTCAATGTGTCATTCCTATTGACCACACAATAACTTGCTATCATTCAGTTTCTCAACCTCATCTACGTTACATGCTTTTATTGTCGCCCAGTCAACTCGGACCGAACTGACGACGTCTTCATGTTGATCAAGATAGAACTCGAGTCAGCCTGATGCTCTTTCCAAACGCCCCAAACGCCTGGTACCTCGTCTCCTTCAAATCCCAAAGGCACAGTTGCATATTCGCCCAGGCTTCCACTACTCTTGACTTTGGTCCTGCCTTGCCCCACTAATGTACTGGCGTGTATCGCGACTGTCTGCGTGGTCGATGGTGGATAGGTAAACGATTGACATTTCCTCGGAGACAAAGTGATTGGGGCTGATGATGTATAGGTGGGAGAGCTTCACAAAGATCGAGAAAGCTTCGGTTCAATTCTCCAGGACCAATCATGGTGATGCTGAATCCAAGTGGAGAGTCATTATGTCGTCTTTGGAAATTTAGTTGAGGTGAGAAGTATGCAGGAGTTTGGTCAAGGCGTTAAGAGTATCGACGCCGGTAGATCAGTCGATCTACACCTTGCAGTCGCAATGTTGTGCTTGACATTCACATTGTTAAATACCAGTTCTTTGCTAGCACTTGTGCCGCCAGTCGATTCTGAAGATAGAAAGCGTTGAGATTCCTTTGATAAACACCAATTTAAGAAGGATTGAAATCGATGTTTCCATATCGGTGCTGACATGAGACAACGCCGCAATATCAGTACATAACGAACCCTTATAGGACTCAAGAGTAGCCTTCCCGAAGCCGGATCATCTATTGCTCCTATCGATGAGGTCAAGTTCCACATTTGTAGATGAGAGCATGTGGGAGCGGTGTCTGAATGGTTCCGAATAAACCGCTACGTTGCCGTGCTTGGAGCTGGAGATCTGATCTTCTCTGTTATCAATAATGACGGCGGTAGTATTCGTGAAAGAGTACTTAGGGCTGGCGCGATAGTTCATTGGTGTATGTCGCGAAAAGCCAGAACATCAGGTCCATGCAAGGCGTCTTGACCTATGGATCTAGTCAGGAAAGGTTTTGATCGAGGAACACAGAAATATATTAGGGCTGAGTCGTGAGACTGTGTCGGAGTTCGGATGCATAAATCCGCTCTCGGGTAGTATTGTGGAAGATGAATACAAGAAGTCACAAAGGGATGTCAACCCCACCAGCCACACTGACAAACAAGAGAAAGCTTTCTAGTCGAGGACGTTCATGTTGACAAGTTTTCGCGATTTGGAAGGGTTAATAGGGGATCACACGCACTTGGGTCTCATTGTAATCGAAGCAACAACGTTGAGAACTGTTTGTCAACAGTGTGGTTATTGGTAAGAACGATCGCTGAACAAATGACCCCAAGCATATCACTATAAATACTGAAGACACTATCCAGTCAGCTTGTAAGGTCTTCATGCGACACCATCTGGAGGATCCAAGGGGGAATGATACTATGTCTCGAGGGAAAGTCACAGTCCCCCTTCCAAGTTTCGGTTTCAATCTCATTTCTGCCTTCACTCCCAGACTCATCGCTATATAATCTGGTATATTCGCACTCTGGTTACTTCCCCTCCACATACCAACGCAAAGTCAACTCAACTGCTATGGCTGACCACCAAGATGCAGCCACTATCTCCTCTTCGGGTACAGCTCCCGTAGTTTGGAGCAACAGTATCGACAACGTAAGTTTGGGCAACCGATTTCACTGGCTGCGCTCTCCCAAGACTGATTCTTCACCCTTTAGAACGGTCAAAGTCCTCTCCGCGAACTATCTCGGGGCCTCTACGCTCCTGCCCTCGATGGCGGCGACCTGCCGGATGACTCCTTGTCCGCGACCATCCGTCGCTTGATGTCCCCTCCCCAAGGTCTCTATAGTGCCGACGGGCGAAGTGTTACGCTTTACATCAACTGGGCAGTTGGAGTTGTCGGAGTTGAGCGCTTCGAGCCTACGCCGCTCGCCCGTCGTCTTTCCCTCCGACAAGATGATGCTCTTCGAGAGCGCGGAGTCAGTCTGGGACTTTCTAAGGAGATCCTAGAATGGCTTCGTCAGGGCGAGGAGATGTTGACATTGCCGGCGAGTCATTTCACCTAGGTATTGGTAAGTTCACGACGTGCCTTGAGTATTGCGATGTACTGATTATGTGTTAAGCGCGCAAATCGAGAGGACTTGAAGATAATTTGAGCACGGTATATGATTTAGGTCTTCTGTACAGCAGCACCGAAATTTACAACGGCGACGTGTGACTCGCCGGATGGCCAAAGCCAATATCTTCCTTGTACAAAGAGCCTTTTCCGCTCAAACACTCCTTACGAGCTTCTGGTCGTCCGAATCAGATTCACTATGTCGTTCTTCTCTAGTATTGAAATTTTCGGCGAGCATACCGGTGCGCATATGTCTGGACGTAAGATCAATAGAACCACCCTGGCATTCGCGATTGAGTGGCGGTCGGAGAGGTTACATAGTAATCCACCAGATGACTGAACCTTGCGAGTAGATGTGAGTGTGCACTGAGGTTGTTGTCTGAACGTGAATCTCTGCTCCTTCATCGCTGTGGTCTCCCTATGTGACTCGTGGCAGTTGACAAAATCATCGTGGAGAGATCAAGGGCATGTGCCTCACCAAATATCGGTCCACCACCAAAATTCCTCCAGTCTTGATCAATGATACGTTTTCCAAGGTCCTAAAACTCTTGAACTCTTTCAGGTTTCCCATCTTGACCCAACTCACGCTCGAAATATCTCACATATCGCTCCTTACACATCGACAACAGCTCTCCGGCATTCTGCTTCTTACAGGTCTTCTCATGGTCCATGTACTAGCCCGATCTCTGTCTGTAACTCTGCCCTTGTTTCTCCCATGATGGTACGCAAACACTGCTATCAACCGTATTCCGTGGATTCCAGTCTGTAGTTGTACTCCTCTCATCAAGCTCTATCGAATGAGTTTCTGAGCCAAGCTTCGAGGGTATAGAGTTACTGCGCGTTTCGAAGAAGGGTCGTGGGCTCGAGTACCTTGATCGTTGACTCTAGCTTGCGCGCTCGTGACTTGCACATTCACCTTCTTCATTGCCTTTACACTATCAGCGCTGTGTGCGATATTATCTATGGTCTCGATAACTTGAGGCTGGAGTGAGGCGCCTTGATGTGGCCGCGGTGCGCGTTGATAGTCTGGATGCGGATAGTGTGCGTACTAGGGTGTAGTGGACGGAGCGTATGAAAGAAATGCGAGGAGAGGAGTCGAAGAGTCATGACTCTATTGTCGAGGGTACTCTAGGCACAGGTTAGTAGGGTCTGAGAGCTAAGTTGTTGGTTGCGCTTCCATCTCAGGAACATGACAGTGTGGCTATTGTAGCAATTCGTGGGAGTACTCCAGCACAGGGAAGCGGATAGCGTATAACCAACCAGCTAGTTCAGCTCTGTAACTCGACGTAAGTCCTTTTAAGATCGTCCCTGAGGAGCCTGATGGATGGAGATAGTCAAATCGCGCGTTGTGAGAAGCTCGCGTGGCTAAGGTATGGTGAACCGCGGCAGGTACAGCTTGACCATTGGTATTGCCCCTCCATGCGTTAGCTGTTTCCATTCAACACCAGATGCTTATTGTGATTCAAGTCGTACGCGTAGTGGTGGCGTTTCGTTGCAGACGGTATCATGCGTGATTACAGAGGCGGAAGAGAAAGAGGTCTCGGTGAAGCGGACGGATATTTCGGATTGGGCACCTTACTCTCGACGAGCTCTGAAAAAGTAAAGCAAGAGTTTCCATAGCGGGGCGGAGTAGACAGTTCAGGTTGCGGCCACTGTGAAGCTCATTGTGTGCGCACCGACCTTTCCTCATTAGCGCCACTGGACAAAAGGATTATCAGAACAGCATTGTCTGATGTTCAATCTCCTTCAGGGACTTGAACTCGCACTATTTTGGTCTTTGCCTCCAGGCAAAAAACAAACGCAATGGCAAGCAAGCAGAAGACAGAACAGAAAATCCATTTTTGAACGTACCTTGGATGATTGATCGATCTCGAGACGGACGAACCGCCAATTGGGCCACCTCAGTGGGCTTTTTGTTGATGTTATTGACGCGAATATTCTGTTATTTATAGGCTGCAAAAGCTGGTGCCAGGAGCAGAATGGAATAATGTTTTGCTTGAGTAGCCGTCACATGGCACGAACTTCACTTCTCACGTTCGTATCAGTCTCCGCAAGAAGAGCTTCCTTGATATTATGCTATGACTATAAGACGGCTGCAATCTGTGTTCGCTACATGGGCAGACACTCAACTGCGTTTTTCTTGGTCTGAGTCACGCCGTCTTCACCTTCAAGCTCCAGGTCCACCAGCAATCTTTCAGCCACCTACAAGCGTTCTAAAGCTCACAGGCTGGTTAAATTTTCGAGCTTATAGTCTCGAACACAATTTGTGAATCGCGGCAAAACGAAAACTTCTCAACTTCACAGTTCACTCATAGATGTAGGATTCTCCATCTGCGTGGGAGATCAACAACAAGTAGATTGGATAAGTGATGCCCCATTGCAACGTTAGTTCCAGGTCAAGCTAAAGCATGAAGCTCGATTAAGAATGTCTCTCCAAGAGGGCTTCGAGCAATCCGAGCCCCCACTGAGTGTTGTTGTGAAAGAAAGAAAAAGCACAGACAAAAGGTCTTCTATACCGGCTGTTTGAGCGTCAGATCAACATGACGTTATTGTGATCTCGCGCTCACATGCTTACACCGTCGCCGTAACCATGTTATGATTCCCAAATGGGACTAGACACGCGTGTGATCCAGCGACACGCCTCGTGTATAAAAGGCCCCCTTCCCCTCCACCCTGTCCTGTTCTTTACCACCAACAAATCAGGCTTTTCCCGATAGCGTAGGGTTTGGCATTCTCGGGATCTGGCGCTCATGAAGGCCATGATCACTCAAGATCCCATGGCACCATGGCGGTCTTGAGGTGAAGCGTTACACAACTTCGCTTGCACCGGGGCAATTTTTTCTCGCTGATGCTGTTGTTGTTCGCTTCTTGTGAACACAATCTTTGGCACCTGACGCCGATGAGGTGTGACGGCTTTAGCAGTACTTTTGGTGCGAACAGTCACTTTGCAGGCGATGAGGATCTTCCGAGCCTGTGGTCAGTTACCCGACCGTGACAACTTCTCGACGCTGACGAGAGAATTTTTTTACCTCAGGGACTTGTCCCGCACTTTTTTTCATTGACTGTCCCGGCTTGCTGGGCTTTCGAGGAAGAGATCTGTTTTTTGTGCACTTTGACCTTGCCCGAGTGTGAGCGTGCTGTCACTCCGCTCGATTCCCTGCTCTCAACCAGTGAACCTTCTGTCACCTCTTGCTCCTCGTACATATCCTTGACCCACACTCGAGAAATCTTGCCACCTTTTGTTACACGAGTCTCGTAAATGACAGCCCACCAGTCATGCGCGCCTCCACATTTCCAAGAGCGCCATCTCGTCTGCCACTCCCACCCACTTCACGCGGCTTTTAGTCTAGAACATGAGCGGTACACCGTCAGAAAAACCTTCTACTTACCGACACGTATGATTTCCCACCCGCTCACGGTATCCTACACGGCGGACAATAATGTCAACAATGGCAATACCCGACCATATCACGTCGACACTGCTCACATCTCAGAGCCCAGCAAAATTTTGAGCCACCACTGGTGTACGCTATCAACCAGCCCATGTTGGCGATCCACAACAATGGCTCTCCAGCGGCCACTAAACGCGCCTTCGTGCAATGACAGGCGCAAGTCTGACCTTCTCGTACCTTACTGTAGCCCCGAAAGCAGTTGGTTGCCTACATTACCCCGCTGCGACAATATGAGCTAGATTCGGCTTGGAACTACAACTTCGAATAAACCGGCGTTCTGGAAGTCCTGCTTGGTGGGTGAGCAGAAGAATAAACCTCCTCGTCCCCATAGGACCGAGTGGAGAATGGTCGAGCTCACTCAAGACCTACCCTTGATCTCGAATGCGGTGGTAAGAGTGCTTAAGCTGCCAGATAAGACGAGCATTCTAACAATCACCGCAGAGAGAGCCTTCGTTGAGCCAGAAACGCGCCACAACCCCGACGACGTACACGGTAGCCAAGCAGTCCAGAACTCCTCCATCCCCATCGCAGGGAGACCTTCATTTACAACAGGAACTCTCAATCAACCTGCACGCCATAGGTACCACCGTACACCATCTCCCTCCAATTCTTCCTTTACAATCCTCACGAGGCTAACGTCACATACCAGACACCCTCGCTCCTTGAGCGGCTCCCCACTAGACTTGCACACTACCCTCCGCCTCTGTTACAAAAGTCCATTACTCGAGGTCTCAGCTACCACCCCTCCTCACAACCGTGTGCCCGCGTAATACGTACCTACACCTCGATCATGCCTTCCCGTAGCCCTACCATCCTGCCCGCTCTAAGCGCACACGGAGTCAAAGTCGAGGTTTAGACCACGGCACAACCAATATGTACAGTCTACTGTGCACAATGATAGCCTACTCAGATGCGTTGAGAACTATCTATAGGAGTATGCCTCACACAACAGTACCACACCCCAAGACTCTCTGTCCTGATCTTGCTGACGCGCAAGTGTCTCAGGCCATACCCCCGGTCAAACATCGATCTCCCCATTCCGCGCGTCTTTCGGACACTGCATACAACGTTGAGACATGGTTTTTAGTGCTACTGCCTCCGTTCACAACGTCTCTTGGCCTTCGAAAGACCGGGTCCACATTCTGATCGGATGAATGTCTCACTTTGCACAACCATGTTGGGTTATGGGCGCATCGCACGGCAAGACATTGCGTGGGTGCTAAGACGAGAGCCGTGGGGCATCGCAGTGTAGGTCGAAGGCGCCTGTGGGTATACGGAGCGGAATGGGATGGAAAAGGGGAGCAGCGAGGAGATAGATGGCAAGTCTCTATCGACGAGATGTCGGGTAGGACGGAAGCTTATTGCAATGAGAGCGGGCGGCGTGATAGTATCTAGACCAGGCATTTGAACCACAATGTAAGATGTTACTCTGCGCGTACAGCGAAGAATGCATACAACAATGCAAGAGTCCTCCCAAGTCTCACTCCCCAAAGACATATGAGTTCACAAGTCCGCGACAGGATGAAAAACACACAAAATGAGATGGATAAATACCCCAACCACGCCAACACCTCCCCTGCAGCCAAAACTCGCCCTCTGAATCAGCCAACCACCCAACGCCCAAGATGAAAACCCCCTCCTGCCTAACTCCCATCCTCTCCTTCCTCCACATCCCCACCTCTCCTCCCACCTTCAAAGTCCACGCTCCTATCTTGATCTGGACCTGCCCCCACCCCTCCCAGCACCAAAACGCCATCTTCCACCATCCCACTTCCCGCCACCCCCTCGGCAAACTGCGCTGCCGCACATGCACGCATCCGAAAATCTGGAACCCCAACTCCCCCCGCACGCGCGTATCCAGCGACGAGGACATACTCTTCTATAAGCGCATGCCCAACGGGGGATACAGCGACGCTCGGCTGCACAGCTATGCGATTGGGACGCCGAGGGGGAGGGTGGGGTATATCTGCCATTGCTGTGGGATGACGTGGCGTACGGAGAGTAGGCGTGGGTGGTGGGGTGGGGAAGAGAAGGTTAGGGTTGTTGGGGGGAGGGTGTGGTGTCGGTGTGGGACGCGGGTGTTTCGGTGGGGGGAGTATTCGCTCTTTGAGGTTGTCGAGATGAAGGCGATTAAAGAGCGTGGTCGTGAGTAGTAGGGCGGCGTGCTATGAATTTCTGACAAGTCATTGCGTGTTCTAGGTAGAAGCTTTGATAGATCAATAGTATGTCGTCCGGAATATCGGGAACGGGATATTCGTACGATACTGCGCACCACGATAGAGACTATCGTCTTGAATAGCGTGACAATTTGATGTTGAATGCCATCCTATACCGTTTACAACATTCAAGCCTGAGAAGATCCACAGACTTTGACTCTCCGCATCTCGACTCCAGTCCCGTCGACCACACTACTCCAGCATCAACTCTCTTGGCCTCTCGCGCATCTCCGCCGGCACACACGCCCACGAGCACACCTTGACCTTCAGCGGGTAAAAGGCGGAGACTTTCCAGAATTCGATCCACTCGGCCCTCGCAACCACGTACTCGTGCTTGCATACGTGACAGTGGCGGAACTCGCTATAGCCAGCGATGCTGTTCTCTGCTGCCTGTGCAAGAATGCGATCAGCGTCAACAGGAACTGGCTCGGGGATGAGTGCGCGGACATCATCGATGGACAAACTGTCCAGGTGCCGTTTTCGCAGAACGTTGTGGAGACATGTTGCGACGAGAGAGGACACTCTAGAGGTTCGTGGTGGGGAAAACCATGTCGGTGGAACGTCGTACGCGCCGCGAGTGGTTTCGACGATGGCGCAGAAGTCGTGATCGTTTGAGGTGGGTTGGGAAGGCGAACCTTTGATCAACACACCTGCTTGGTCGAAGTAAGACACTGGTGTTCGGGCGTAATATGTGGGTGAGAAGAGATCCCTTTGGAAGTCCTTGTTGAGCTTGATAGACTGATATTTGCTTGGAGGATGATGAGGGTAAACACCTTCACCGACGGTTTCCAATGTCTCATCCACCTGTGTAGGTTCGACCATGCTGGTCCAGGACTCGAGTTCGCGTATTTTCCAAACATCTCTTTCACGATCTGGACTTGATGATAGGCTGGCGTAAAGTCCCGGAAGTTTCTCGTCGGCCATGCGATGGAGTGTCTGGATGGTTCTTGTCCCTAATGAAGACAGTGACAAGTCCTCGTACAAGTCTACATAGAAGCGCGTAGAGGACTCGCGCTCGAGTAACGTGTGATTACCTAAGGTCCGAACATCCTCCAAATTGCCATACGGCCTGAACATGCCAAGTAGCTCAAAAGGTAGCGACACTAGCTTGTTCAATGACAAGTCTATCATTTCCAAATGACGAAGCTGGTTGATCTGCGGCGGGAGCTCTACGATCTGATTGTTTCTAAGGCTAAGACTTGTGAGGAATCGCACGTGGAACAGCGTCGGGGTGAGTCGACAGAGGTTGTTGTTGCTCAGGTTGATGTGTAGTTCAGGAATCATTGAGCGGAACTGGCCCTCGGTGGGAAGGTCGTCGCCCGGAACTGGAGGAACTCTGATCACCGAATCGAGTTCGCCAATGTAGTGGATGTCGTCGTCACCGAGCCCCAACCCCTCGAATTCGTACGTGTCAGAGTTCTTATCCAGTCCCATGCGCATTCTCGGGTAGAAGACATTTTCCCCACGCCCCATTGACGGTGGCTCATCCCAGGCCCCAGGAAGATCGAAGGGCGATTTGTGCTCAGGCAGCAGATCTACAGATCCATCTGACGCGTCGCTCATCATGAACACACCCGAGTCGAAGTTGCGCGTCATCTTCACCTTTTTGGCTTCTGGCGTGTTTTGCGCCGAGTCGCCATTTTCGGATTCCCACCATGCGCCTTTGCGCTTGTTCTTGAAAATGCGCGGTGATACATAGTTGCCCACGTCTGCCGACTCTCGAGAGTCATCACTAGAGAATAGGGGTGGTGGAGAACTTGACTTGGGCGAAAACGCGTGGTCGCGCGGTTCGAAGAAGGGCGAACTGGGGAGGTTGGGCGCACTTGCGCGAGGAGGGGAGGAGGGAAGTATTGCGTCGCTGTCCATGATGTTCAAGTGGAAATTTGTACAAAGAATTTCAACAGTAACTCAAAGCGCTCGAGTATGCGCCGACGAAGCTTTCGTCTGGTGTTGAAGAACAATGGTGAAGTCGAGGCTGGAGGCTGGAGGCTGGAGGCGCGTTGGAGCTTGACGCGAACCCCGCTAACTTCGGTCGCTCAGGGTCCAGTGCCGTCATGGCCCACGGTTCGATGCGCTCGCACGTGCATCAAGTAGCCTTGTCCTCCGATATAAACTTTAAGTGCTTCTTTGGTACGGGACCATGGCTTTCGGGATTTCCAAGCGATGCTCCGCCATTTGATGGGTCGAGCAGCCCGTGGCATGCCGAATCTCCAGCGGGCGGAACGACGAGACACTATCTCAACGTACTATGGTCCCAACCGTCCGGTAAGTTTCTGGGAGATATATTGATGACAAATGTGGATTCCAGACAAAGAGCGTGAATGCAGCACGGGAAAAAGAAATCACCGTGCTCTAGTAACGTTTAGTCAGGCGTCCAGGGTCCACTGCAAACCATGCCTCCGAGCTGAATCGCGATACGCATCGGCCAGGCCGTTGAACTTCGAGGCGAAGCGAAGCCTTAAGGCTGCAAAGTGTTCCGTGCACACAGAATACGAGAGTGTCGTGAACATGAAAACATCGCTAAACTACCACAGAAGGACATCGCAAGGAGCATCAGACGTGCGAGAGACAGTACGAGCAGCATCAGCAGCAGCCCGTCTGACATGAAAGACGAGAGCGATGTGGAGGTATATATTTGTAGGTTCGCGTTGAGAGCCAGGACGCTAGATCAATGCCGTGTATATTCAACAACCCAAAGACAAAAAGACTATGCTACTCGTCATGCTTATAGTTCAGCCATTCTCCTGATGGCCAAATTTGTTACCAGCCTCCCATCCATGCCTAAATTACTTCCTTCCAGTGGCTCTCCCTTCGACATAGCCAATTCAGTCAGAATCTTACCCATTGGCTCCGTCGGTGTCATCAAGCTCTTGTACGCGAAAGTCAGCGGTGCCAGGAGCACGCCCTTGTACGTCGCCTGCTTGGGAATGAACGGATGAATCGCCGGCTGGTTCCGCCAGTCCACGGCGCCCAGTCGCACATTGTAGAGCTTGAACAAGGGGTTCTGTTTGTGGAACTCGAGAAGTGCAGTCTCGACCTGGCCCTTCACGCGGCCGAAGATGGGGGTGAACATGCCGGGCGATTGCGTAGCGCCTTCGCCGGAGATGTAGACGAATGTGAAGGGCGAGTCAGGGTGGAGCGTGGAAAACGCGTGTGCGGCTGCGATAGGGTAGTCGTGTGTTATTTCGACGTATTTCCTGTACCACGATCGAGATGTCAGTGGACTGTCCATTGTCTTGAGTTGAATAAGCTGAGAACGCACTCCTTGTCCACGCTGTTCTGCGAGACGCCCTGTGCCCACACGCATCCCTGCGCATCTTTCAACTCCTCTAACAACGTGCTCTCGTATGTCTTGTAATCCTTGTGGATGATGACTTTTGCCTTGTCGTGTCCTTCTGCCATCGCGACGGGACGCCGGCTGAGGATCGAAATACGGCTAATGCTCTCTTGGGCGAGCATGTTGTTGAGGACCGATGCCCCAACGAGGCCGGTTGCGCCAGTGAGGATGATATGCATTGCGAGTACGGATCTTGGTAGCTGCTAGATTGAGGGGTTGGAGTGCAAGTTATAAGCATGTGCTGCGGGGAGAGCGAAGGTAAGCACTACTGTGGTGTGTCTGACATGTCATCGTGAGTGACGAGTCGGTCGCCGTGTTAACTCCATGATGCCTGGGGTCATGTAATGTCATAGCTCCTGCGGACATTCTCATCGTGATATAGTCGAGTAAAAGCCGGGCGTTGAAGGAATATCGACCCTCGAAGCTGCAAGATCGCGGAGTTAAGATCGCGACGCAGGGTTCCGTCCGGTGTCCGTTGAGCTAACCGCGTTGACTAAGCGGGCGGGCGATTGGAGGAAAGTGCCATGCGCATTACCGCACTGTCCTGCATTGCCGTACTACATACAACGATGTTATGCAGCTCGTGCAAAACACCACACTTGAAATCGAGACGGCACGAAGCTCATATCGAAACGACGTCTTGCTGATACCGCGTATTCCTTCCATATCGCTGTAGAGGATTGGCAAGATTGACTAGATGACGATGACTGGGTCCAGGATCACACGGCCGTTGGCCGCCTTGATCTCTAAGGATTTTCCGGGAGTCGCGGAACACGTTGCGTAACTACCATGCAAAAAACTAATCCTGCGGACGTGAGCTCTCTTCCAGCCCTGGGACATTTCTCTCTCATCGTCTCCTCGTCCTCGACTCCGCTTTTGTACCGTCACACTGTTCTCCCCCTCCACTCGGCGACGAGACTACCAGCAGCATGGCAGCCACAGAAGCCCTCAATAACCGCCACATCGTCTCTCGGGTTCTGTTCCAACTTGCCGAATCGAAGCACAAAGAGCGCCAACAACGCGGGCCAAACTACCCGGTAGAGTTCCTGGAGTTTCGACCAACATTGCTATCTTCTATATTGGTCAACAAACTGTGGGCGGAAGAAGGTACATCGATCCTATGGAGTCGTTATCCGCAGCTGCCGGCGCTCGAGCTCATGACGTACAATCGACGGCAAAACTATGCCAACAAAGTTGAGCGCATCTTCTGTGTCGTATCAACCCATAGCAATGAAGACCTGAGTTTTCTGGACGGCCTGAATTGGCCGAGATTAAAGTGTCTTGAGCTGGATATAGACTGGAGGACGCGCGGGCACAGCTTTCGGAATATGTTGCACGCTGGTATCGAGAGTCTGGAGTTGTCTGGGGTTCAGAGTGGAGACTCGGATTACATCGCTGAATCCGTCCTACCCGCTTTGTTCGCACCGTGCAAGAATCTTCAGAAAATACACATTGGCCCGCACACAGTTGATGCTCAGGATCCTGTTGATGCTTACGCACTACTCACTCTGCTTAATGCTGTGCCTAGCATCAAGGAAATACGAATCATGAATACCAACTTCCTAGGCAAGGACATGCTCTTCACTCGTCTCTCCCAGCGGCCTGGTCTTCAAGCTCTGGAGATCGACCTCGAACCAGGACTGGAGCTTCTTCCCTACTTCTCGGGGCCCAATGCCTTACCATCTCCTTTCGCCAGTTTACAGCGCCTGAAAATGGTGTGCTACCCGGAGATTGCTCTCGCGCTTCCAGTGCATCTTCCCACTCTTCAAGAGATACAATTTGACGTCGCCCGCATACCTCAGCAACCCGTCGACTTCTCAGACCTCAACATCTTCGACGACATTTTGAACTCTCTTTCACAGTGCCCAGAGTTAAGAGTATTGAAAATTAATGTTGGCAAGCTTGCGATCGGCTTTCCTGCCGCACGTTTGTATCCCTCATTGAGCGGAAAATCGTTGGTCAAACTCGCGGCTTCGTGTTCAAAGCTACAAGACATCAGCATCTCCGCCTTCCAGCCATCATCAGTGAATGGTTCAACTATATCGAGTCGTCATTTTGAAGCTTTCTGCGAGAAGTTACCACATTTGAGCAGTCTATGCTTGAACTTCCATCCCACCACCGCAACAAGTCTCCAAGACTCGGCCCTTCAAAGCTTGGGAAGGTATTGTCCCAAACTTGAAGTACTGCGCATGGGTATTCCATTACAACTACCTAGCTTAGCAAAACTCGACGACATTTTGGCTGATGACAAAGGCATCTCATCTACTACGGCGGTGAATCACAGTAAACCAATTACCTCGACATCTTCCACCCTTGGGGGAGCCGACCTCCCACGTTCTAAAGCGTCTTCAGCAAAGCCAAAGTCGCATATTCAACCGCTGTTTCCCCACGTCACCCGACTCACCTTCGCGCGCCCTAAAACCGCTCTCTCCGCTCCGTCGTTGGTTTCACGGTTTAAGCCCGTCGTGGACCCCAAACTTGAAAAAGACATTGTCCGCTCTTGGGCGCAACCTCTTCTCACACATTTCCCTCGTCTCGAGAGACTCGAGGCATGGGGCGACTCAAGCGGTTGGGACAACTACTCGCTCAACTACTTCTTGGTCATGGACAAAGATGAGATACTGGCGAGTATGTGGGAGTTTCTGAGTGGCCTGGAACAGGACCTGTGGCTCAACGATGAGGAAGAGTCTGCCCCGATGGCAGTAGATACCGGATGCGATATTGAGCACGTCAACGAGCAGACAGGCTTTGAGAGCCATGGTAGTGGAGGGGATTGGGAGAAGGCGAGCTTGATGAATGAGTTTCCTGTCAACGAACAGATTGCCGAAACTAGATATATGCACCCCATTCATGAAGAGCACGAAGATCTTACGATGCACACACACCCGCTGGCTTTAGAAGACGAAGGCTACTGCGAGGGCGAGGGCTCAGAAGGCAACTCTGTCATCGTTCCCGCTATCATGAGCACTTCGATACGGCCGAAACAGAGCGCCATACGCGGCGTTCTCAAGAGCATGATATGTACCAGGATAAGATAGGTGTGTATCAAGGTCATTGTTATTGTATCTTTCGAGGAGCGGGGCTTCTTCCACGAGGTTTTGCACTTTCCTCTCATTCATATGAATCAACGAAGTCATGGTCAAATATAATCTCATTTCTGAATCTCGTTTGTCTGCATCCATCAAGCTCTTTATAGCCGATAGGCACCCTACAGCCCACACACACTTGTGAAGTTTACACACTTCCAACCAATCCAGCTCCAGCGCAACATAAACCCTTGTGGTCACTCCCCTGATCACCCAATTCCCAACCGACCATCTGCAGTATACCCCGAAGGTCGTCAGTCACATCGTTCTCTCAAACACCCACTCAAGAAACATACCCAGTCATCCCTCAACACAAGCCCGAGTCTGTCTTAGCTTCACCCGACGGGCTACTAGACCCCAACGGTACGTTGACCCGCAGACTCAGCGTTGAGGACTGCTGTTAAGGGACAGAGACCCGAAGGCGAGAACCCATATTGACCGGCGAGCGACAGGACCGAAGAAACGACCAAGAAGAGGGAGGGAACTAGCAGACATCAGCATGCATGACCGTGGAGGCCCACAACACACCAACATACAGTATCCAAAGCCAAAAAGACGGCACCTGGGAACACGTCAGCAGCTATCCACTACGTACTCAAACCTTCGAACTCAGCTTGTAGTCTTTACGCAACTAACTTACCAAACACACAGATAACCTCAACCCGTGGCTTACGCCACAAACCGCCTCAGCCGCGCCTTGAAGCCCTGCAGCTTCTCACGCACGCGGCGCCGCAGTGAGGGCGTGGGCGGGAGCGGCTTGGGCGGCAGCGGCTTCTCGACGTTCACCGCGTCCTTGTTGTTGTTGCTGCTGCTGCTGTTGTCCTGGCATAGCGCTGGCGGCGCGCTCGCGGGGCGGAACATGAGCTCCTCGGGGAGCGGGTAGTGGGGCGGCGTGGGCGTGGGCTGGGGGCGGAGGAGAACCGCGGGGAGGAAGAGGGTGGAGGACATGTTGTTGTTGCTGTTGTTGTTGATGGTGGTGGTGGTAGTGGTAGAAGATTGGTTTGATGGAGGATTGGAGGTGGTGAGCTGGTTTTATAAGAGGGCGCTATTTCGAGCGGAGGTGAACGCGGGAGTAGAGTTTTCTCTGCGTGACTGCGTGGGTGAAGTGAAATGATATGAAACGTGTGGGACGGCGGAATGAGCTTCGGCTGGAGAAGCTCGTGTGGGCTGTTTTTACCGTGCGGGTTATGGCTTGGGAAGACTTCTGGGATGCTCTAGATGGGCTGGATGGGCGGGCTGGTGTCACTGAAGGGGTTTTGCAAAGCGCATCTCAATGATCTGGGAGCGTTCGCGGTGTTTACATCGTCACTTTACGCCCCCGCCAACCATGCATTTTGAGAGGTTGTTTTTCCCAAGCTCAATATTGCGGCCTTGATAGCGCAACGAAGACAGGTGGTTGTCGCATGGGCAGGAATCAAAAACTGCGATAGTTGTGTCCTCAGGTCTGGACACCCTCTTGTTATCCGCTGGAGGCTTGGAGTGAACCAGTGGGTCGTAGTTCTCAATGTAAGCCTTCGGCACATATCTGTGGGCATTGAGCGAGGTTATCAGCGTGAGTTGAGGAGCTGCTTCGCCATTTGAACCAGCGTGTCTCACAGGTGCTGAGCTTCGTCAGTCGGTGCGGTTTGTTATCATGGCACATAGGCAGCAATGATGGTGGGACTAGAGCAGCCTTTGAGCGACTCCCACATCAACAATACTGAGTCAATTACGGAGCTCTCGTCACTGTGCATAGATAAAACGTGGGCGGACACTGTATGGGAGCTGTGTTTACCAGTCCGCTGTGTTGTGCGCAGTCACTGATCAACACAACATTCCACGCGACCCTCCCTCCCGCAGAAGAACAACAAGATACAATCACGCGTAGAACTCTCATCACCAACACACTGGACTCAAAGCAACACATGCACACTGTCTGTCTGCCCACACTCCAAACAAACGCACCATCCAAATCAACAAAAGCTCTTCTTCAAGGCACCGGACAAGCCGACACACTCAACGAAAAAACAGGGCCCCGAAAGGCAGTAGACAGCAAAAATTACTCCAACGCAAGCGTCAAGCCGCTCGCACCTCTTCACTCGCCGCAATGTGCAATGCAGGAATGCTGAGGGGACAATCTGAACTCAGGAGCTCCAGTGTCCTTGGAAATGATGTGTGTTGGGGCTGGAACCACTAAGGATATCCAGACCCCGTCACTCACCTGGTAAGGAGTTGGAGGGAGGGCGAGGGAGGAGCGGTTTATATAGACCATGGGCTTGGCAGATTATGTAACGTCGGCTGCCGAAGTTCTACCGGTCTGTGAAGTGAAAAGAAGGGTCGGATTGAGGGGCTTGGCGAGCACGGGGGGTCGGAGGGCGAGTCTGGTGGGTAGAATGACGTGTTTTGGATGGTCTTAGCGGGTTTTGGGAGTTTGAAAGGCTTTCAATGGAGGGTAGTAGAGGTTTTCAGTTCATTGTCATGGTGTCTCATCAAAAGTTTATAGTACAGCCTGCCACTCTTCAGATCCTCCGCGTGCTCGTCTCCCCATAGGCCAAAAGCCACGGTAGTCCCCATCTAACCGTCTACTCCTTTCCAGGTTCTGCCCAGTATCTCCTCACCCGCCTTCAGCTCTGACACCCTGATGCGCAAGATGTTCGTTGCCCTCGCGCCGTCATCCGCACACAGCCACGCCAGATACCCCGCAGGAAGCCCCAGCTCAGCGCCCCGCAACCTCACCTCCGAGTGGGCCTTCAACCGCACCCGGTGCTTCGTCGAGTCGTAGACCATGTGCTGGCCCAGGCACTTCATCACCAGCGGAAGGCCGATGGTCACCATGCCCGCGTGGTCGTTATTTGCTTGGGGCAGGGACAATAGGCGGGAGATGAGGAGTTCGACCGGTTCGCCGGTCAAGCGAGGAGCAGCTGGCGGCGATCCTTCTGGAGAGGTAGGAGAAGGGGGAGGAGAAGAGGCATCTCCACCTCTCTTGATCTTGTAGCCGAGTTCTTTGTCGGCGAGCTGCGAGGCGGGGCCAGAGGGGACGCGGGATCCTGCTTCGCCGATAGCTTGAAGCAGGTCGGCGTTGAGGAAGGAAGAGACGGTGCCGAACTCGTCGTTTGAAGATGCCATTTTGCTTGATGTGGCTTTGGAAAGAGATGAGGATTTGGTGGTGGGGGTGCGGTTTACTTTGTTGTGGTGAATTATATACTTCCTTTTGAAACGAAACCTCTCATTCACTTCAAGTTTGAAGAATCTGTGATTCAGCGAGCCTCCTGATTGAGTGACGACGTTGTGGTTTCATTTGGTATTGTGTCTCGGACACTAGAATATCTGCTGAGGCACTACAGAGTGGACAATGAGTCTTTCGTATTGAAGCAGCTCGAGGATGTGCACTCCATGATGAAGCCACAACATGACTTTGTGGCCCTTCACAGTCGACATCCAGATAAACATTGTATGTGAGGTGCGAGGTATACCATAACTGACTTTTGTATCCATATCTGGAACGGAAAGGTTGAGCATGGTCAGCCACATCTTTATAAGTATGGGCACAGACAAGCGTTTGAAAGCACTCATGTGGGTAGAACGACTGGATGATCAGAAGAATGACCAGGCCGTTTGGCAGCTCACTGCACATGCGAGTCGTCACATCCATGGCAAACTATCTATCTGGTGCAGTCACTCACGTCCTGAACGAAGACATAGGATTATATACAATCATCGTTGTCTCTGATGTCAAAACTAGCACCCCGCTCTTGGTTGACCAGATACGTAACATCGAAAAGCAAAGTGCTACAAAACAGGTGAGGAATGTGCATTGTCGGAAGGACTGTACAATGAGGTGCCAGTTGAAGAAGCCCGGTGGCAATCAGGAAGGCAAGAAGAGTGACATAAGCTCACCTGCTTGATAGCAAGAGCCTAGGAAAGGTCCGCCGCAGGTGAACCTTCCGTCGGAGCAAACGCAGGTTTGAAGCAGCGACACTCAGAGATTTCACGACTATGACCGTTCTTGAATACTAGAGTTGGATGAAACGGCGTGATTTTGGTTGCGTTCAGCAAGCAACATGCGGAGTTGTCCATTTGATGTCCGGCAAAAAGAACGTTGCCGCTTTGACCTCGCTCTCACTAGTGAAGAACAAGAACTGCAATCAGGGTGACGTCCGTCGGCCTAGAGATTGAAACGGTCGCTCACCTTTGACAGACCATCAGGTGTTATCTCTCACCTCCAGCAGTACCCGAGCATTATAAGCCACTCCCCGCCTTCCTACCTCTCCTTCCAGAACACCCCACTTCCATCAACCCACAACAACCACATCCAACGCACCGAAACGTTAACAACCGCAACACTGCCATGATGAAGTTTACCACCTTCATCCTCGGCGCCATCATCGGCCTCGCCACCGCGCTGCCCACCGGTGAAGCCAGCGTGAGCGACGTTCCCAACGGCTTCCTCACTAACACTCTTGACACCCGCCAAACCTGCACCATCAAACTCACATCCTGCCACCCCGAGTGCAAGCGGCTCACCGAAGAGCTCAACGGTTGCCTCTGCATCAACAAACCCGGCGGCACGCACGGGTGCATTAGCATGGACAAGAAGCTCGTAAGTGCACAAGTTCATAAGGGAGGAAGTATGAAAGATGGGAACGGACGCTGACCATTGAACAGAAGGCCTGCAAGGCTAGATGGTGCGCTTGAATCCAAGGCAGCGACACGGTGCCAGGTGATGGACACAAGGGGACTCAGGGCCTGGGGAGCATGGATACGGATGGGGACATGGTATGCAGGATTGATATCTACAAATCGACTCGTCGATTGGAGGAGTAGCTGGTCGTACAAAGCCGATTAGCTTCCTCAGTATGATCAAATCAACCGGAAGTATATGAAAAGCTTTACATCTTTCTTCGTTTGTGAGCCAAAATGCAAGACAACAGTCATGATTTAGACTACCACGGCAACCCCAGGATCAGGCCAGCTTGTGAGTGCGTGATCGACAGCTGGTGACAAAACACAAGATGTTCATCTTAACTCAAATTCCATGGACTTACTGAATCGCAACCCACCTCTATCAAACCGGTGTCAAAGAGCCCGCGCTTTTGATATAAGCGTGAATCTCTCGACGTTCTACTGCTGTCTCTGAAGCGCTCCTCGGCCTGAAACACCAAGTTCAAATGCACATCGATACTGAAGGAAGCTGAGTTGTGACGAAGTGCACATGATAACCGTGAAGGACTAAGACCTGTTCTGCGAATGACGTGGTGCTGCTTTGAGGGACGTAAGGCAGCGCAATTAAGACTGGACAAGGCGAAGAGTTTGACTGTAGCGATGTATGTATTCTCGTATATGTGGGAGATAACTACTCACCGCAAAGCAATCTGACAACGCCGCCCAAGTCGTACCTTGTGACTTATGAATGCACCAAAGAGCTGCAACTGAAAGCACGAACATGACTAGCACATAGAATGGTATGTATGAAGCGATTGGAAGGGTTCATCACGATGCGCATGCGAAGCCACAACGCATTGTGAATCTCGTCTTGCTTGGGTAGAATATAGAAGGGTTTTTTGCAGCCACACCATGAAACGTATAGTGTTCTGTGTTCCTGGAAACTACATTGTGATATATTTAGAAATTTGTACGCATAGTTGTTAACGTTAATCGATGTGAAGGGGTTGAACAATCAGCCAAATATGGGAATATCGAGAAAGTTTGAGCAAAACCGAAAGCCCTGCCGAAGGAGAGAGTACCCCGCCTCAGAGACTACACCCACTCGGATCTTTGGAGATACTGCTATTCTTGAAGATGTGCATCTTGCGGAATACAATTCTGACTATTACTAACCACGTGTACTGCATAGCGTGAAAAGATGTGCAGCACTATCACTAATCCCACTGTCCTAGCCTGTGGTCTCTTAAAGTACATCAATTTGTTAGTGCATGGATCATGGTATGATGCTGTGATTGTGTCGAGGTTGTTGCCGCGTGCTCAACACGTGGTGGCGCTGAGTCCAGCAATTCACATTTTTGGGCGCATGCGGGCCGCGCTTCTCGAAATCGATGACGCATGCATTCAACGGCTTCGAGGCGCAGCGGTATGTACACTTCTAAGCGATGCTCCAATCATGCACGCTGTCGCGAGTTTTGCCTTTCTCAACGACACGGCGGAATGAGCGCCCAGGGCTTGGCCGATGCGCTCTGCCGAGGCTTGCTTGTTGGGCGTCTGGAAAATGAACAACATTTCCAAAGTCCGATGGAGCGTGGAGGAAGGAAGAGGATGGAAAATGAAACAGAGCCTTGACAGCTGTAAGACGCACGTTCTCCTGTCAAATGAGACGAGAGCGTGGCGGCCCATCGGAAGTTACAGCGTCCGGTCAGACGTGGCCGCGGAGCTTCGATGGCGGGAGATCATCGACCCGTAAGTACGCCAGAACAAATGCGCGATCGAAGACGTGCACACCAAGATGTCGCGCGCTCGGCATGGCGAACACGCGGTATACGGTGCCGGTTTGCCCGGATATTCGAAGTCTGTTCGCATCTTTTGCCTCTGAGTGTTATTGACATTGCTCTCCACATCGCCTGTTCATTTCTCGATACCCCCTTTGCATGTTTGAACCCGTGAACGACATGCAGTCTTGCTCCACATAGTAATCTTAATCGAAAGTCGCGAGTTTTCCATCGAGCAAGTCACCGTTTACACCATCTGAGCTCATCTTCAAACCTTTCCCTATCGAGCGCGCCACCGCGGGCACAAGTAGCCACCATGGCGGGGGCAATCGTGAAGCAGACGTGGATTCTCACAAAGAAGACACTGCTTGTTGTCTTTGTGCGACAATGGTTCTTTACAAGCATTCGCGCATTCTGGGCGCCCATCATTTTCGTAAGGCCTGGCTAGACTCCGATGTGTGGCAGCTGCTAATCATGGTGTCTGCAGATGTTCTTCATCACATACGCAAAAAACTTCTTCATCCCCCCTTCTGAATTCGGTATTGGCAGCGTGCATGCCATTCGCTCCTTCCCCAATGCACTCGGCGCTGCAACCGGTGGCCGCGACAAGGTCGTTTTCGTAAACAATGGATACGCCGGTGGAGAGATTGAGCAACTTATTGGGCAGCTGTCGACCCAGGTTCGCGACGCGGGACTGAATGCGATTACTGTCCAGCAAGAGGTGGATTTGTTGACAACCTGCGCCGGCTCATTGAGGGGTGCAAGCACATGCTATGGTGCTGCATCCTTCCACTCGAGTCCTAGCGAAGGAGACGGATTTGGATGGAACTACACCCTTAGGTCTGACGGATCGCTGGGGGACCAGATTTATGTGGACCAGAGCGACAACGACATCCAGCTCTTCATCCTCCCGTTCCAGCGAGCTATCGACCAAACGATCGCATCTACCAATGGCAGTCGAGCCCTCCCAGACATCGACGAATATCCGTTCACAGATCTCACGCAGGAGCAGAGGGACGAGAGGATAAGGTCGCTGTACATGGGTGCGCTGATCAATATCATGGCCGTGGCGCTTTACATTGGTGTTTGCGGTGTAACATACCAGCTCACTGGGCAAATGGCAGAAGAAAGAGAACGCGGGATTTCCCAGTTGGTGGAAGCTATGTCCCCGGCAAAGAAAGCATGGCACACACAATTTGCTCGTCTGCTGTCAAACCACATCGCCTTTGACCTCATCTACTTTCCTGGATGGGTAGTCATGGGCCTCATCGTGTGGGCACTCGCTTTCAAGTCGTCGAGCGCCGCCATCCTAATCATCTTCCATATCCTGGCCGGTCTGTCCTTGACCAGTTTCTCCATCTTCGGCGGTGCGTTCTTCCGCAAAGCACAGCTTTCTGGAATCACCATCGTCATCATCCCAATCTTGTTGGCAGTCATTGCGCAAGTTGCTGGTCCTTTTGGCACTGGTGCTGTATACGTTTTGAGTCTGATATTTCCGTCCATGAACTACGTTTTCTTCATAATCTACGTTGCCCGATTCGAAAGGCAACTCATTGCAACAAACATGGTCAAGGCAGCGCCTGTCTACAACAGCCATAATTTTACCACTACTGGAGTTGTGTTCTGGGTATTTCTGGTAATTCAGATTGTGGTATACCCGTTTCTCGGCGCCCTTGTCGAAAGATGGCTATATGGCACAGTGTCAGCTGAACGAAAGACCACGACCTCATCTCCAGATCACAACATCATCTTGACAAACTTCTCGAAGCACTGGACGCCTAGCTGGTTCCGCACAAAAGTGCTGGCCAAAGTTGGCATCAAGCCACCGGAGACAGTCATTGCTGTCAATGACTTTAGCATGAAGGCGCGCAAAGGTCAGATCATGGTTCTTCTTGGTGCCAACGGTAGCGGAAAATCAACCACTCTAGATGCAATTGCTGGGTTGAACTCAATCACCAGTGGTGCCATTGAGATCGATGGCACTGGAGGTTTGGGTCTTTGCCCCCAAAAGAACGTAATGTGGGATGAGCTCAATGTGTACGAGCACGTCCGGATCTTCAACCAACTGAAATCGACTGGGACGTACGACAACAAGGACACGATCGAGAATCTCATCCGTGCCTGCGACTTGGGACACAAGATCAAAGCCCGGTCGAGCACATTGTCCGGAGGCCAGAAGAGGAAGCTGCAATTAGCCATGATGTTTACAGGTGGCTCCAAAGTCTGCTGCGTCGATGAAGTGTCATCTGGTCTTGATCCGTTATCGCGCAGGAAGATTTGGGAGATTCTGCTTGCTGAGCGTGGCGATCGCACCTTCCTACTCACGACTCACTTCCTCGATGAAGCAGATGTTCTCGCCGACTACATCGCCATCCTATCTCGCGGCGTGCTCAAGACCAAGGGAACGTCTGTCCAGCTTAAGCACGAAGTAGGGGCTGGCTATCACGTTACATACCCCAGGGATGCGCCTGTTGCGCCGCCCAAAGACGCCATTAAGAAGCCATCTCCATCGGATGCTATGGTCCAGTACCAATTTCCCACAGCACTGCCCGCAACGAAATTCGTTGATATACTCAGATCCCATGGGATCAAGAACTACGACATCGTGGGACCAACGTTGGAGGACGTTTTCCTGGCGAATGCTGAAGAAGTCAAAGAATACCACCTCATGGACGCTGACAACGATGAGCGAACTGCCGGGCTTGCCCCAAATAAGGACACTGACCAAACCTCGGACCTGAACTCTGGTATCGATAAGAGCCTTACTGTTGGCAAGGGACACGGCACCTCGATGTTCAAGCAGACTCTCATCTTGATGCAGAAGCGCTGGACAATCCTCAGAAGGAACTATTGGCCGTATGTGTTCGTGTTGCTGCTTCCTATCGCTGCCGCTGGGCTTGTCACGTTGTTCTTGAAGAACTATGAAGCCGTCGGATGTGATCCTGGGGCGAATTCAAACAACCCAACGGTTTTCTCGCTCGCCAACGTCGATGCCATTCCCCTCATCCCGATCGGCCCCACGAATCTCCTCGGGAATGCTATCCAAACTATAGTCGAACGTACAAGCATCAGCGAGGACAGCTTCTACATCGTCGAAACCTTGGATGAGTTTAACGACTTTGTGCGGACTCGTTTCCACGACATCACTCCCGGTGGTTTCTTCCTGCGCGAAAATCAGCCTCCTATCATGGCGTATCTTGGTAACGGTGGAGTTGTCGGAGGCCTTGTCACTCTTAACACTCTTGACAACATCCTCACGAACATCCCCATCTCAACGCAATACCAGCAGTTCGCTGTTCCATTTGCTCCTAACATGGGTGACACGCTACAGCTTACCCTGTACTTCGGGCTGGCCATGAGTGTGTTTCCGGCTCTGTTTGCACTGTATCCGACACAAGAGCGACTGAGAAATGTTCGAGCATTACATTACAGCAATGGTATTCGGGCCGTGCCTTTGTGGTTGGCGTACACAGCATTCGATTTCAGCTTTGTGCTCGTGATCTCTGCTGTGTGTACGGCAATCTTTGCGAGCGTAGGTGCTGAGAATCAACCTGATGACGACTCGAGCTAACATGACATAGGCTTCCGACGCTTTCTACGCTCCTGGCTACCTTTTCGTCATCTTCTTCCTATACGGTCTAACTGCCATTCTCTTCGCCTACCTCATATCCATCATCGTCACATCGCAGCTTGCAGCTTTCGCTTTTGCTGCTGGAGGAATGGTCTCGTTGTTCCTCATCTACTTCATTGGGTACATGTCGATTTTGACCTATGCACCTGCTTACAACATCGACTCCTGGCTCGACATCTTCCACTGGACATGGTCTCTCGTTTCACCATCTGGGAGTTTGTTAAGGGCACAGCTGCTGTCGTTGAACTCCTTCAGCGTACTGTGTGACGGTAATCAGATTCCTAGCTACCCTGGCTCCATGGGTGCGTACGGTGGCCCAATCCTCTATCTTTCCGTCCAATCAATCCTGTTGTTCATCGCTCTTGTCTGGTGGGACTCAGGCTACAGACCAGCTTTCCTCAACCGTGAGAAGAGCCGCCAGAAGCACTCGGAAGAGAACGTCGATACAATCCCCAAGGCAGTCGCTGCTGAGATCACACGCGCTGAGCAAAGCAAGGACAGTCTGCGAGTCCTCCATTTGCAGAAGACATTCGGCCAGAACCACGCTGTGAACGACATCACTTTCGGCATTCCACAAGGTCAGGTCTTCGCTTTGCTCGGTCCTAACGGCGCTGGCAAGTCGTCCACCATCTCCCTTGTCCGTGGAGACATTCGCCCGACCACGCACATCAACGGCGGAGGCGACGTGCTCATTGAAGACATCTCGATCATCTCGAAGCGTGCAGCGGCACGTGGCCATCTCGGTGTTTGCCCTCAATTCGACGCCATGGACACTATGACCGTAACAGAGCACCTCTACTTCTACGCTCGCGCCCGCGGCGTACCCGACCCGAAGTCTTCCGTTGGAGCGATCCTCCAAGCCACAGGCCTCCACCGTTTCGAATCACGCCTCGCATCCAAGCTCTCGGGCGGCAACAAGCGCAAACTCTCCCTCGGCATCGCCCTCATGGGCAACCCCTCCGTCCTCCTCCTCGACGAACCATCCTCCGGCATGGACGCCGCCGCGAAACGTGTCATGTGGCGCACTCTCCTCGGTGTCGCGGCGCCAGGCCGCGCACTGCTAATCACAACGCACTCCATGGAAGAAGCCGACAAACTGGCCACAAGAGTCGGCATCATGAAGCGAAAGATGCTGGCGCTCGGCACCGTCGGCCAACTAGGCGAGCAATACGGCGACGCATGGGTCGTGCAACTCGTGCTCCGATCTGCGCCCGAGACCACAGAAGAAGAAATGGAGAGCGTGAAAGAGTGGGTACGCCAGCGCATCCCCGGTGTGCAGATGGACAAGTGGGGCTCGCGGGGCGGCGGCCATGGACAGCTTCGCTTCAAGGTGCTGAAGGCTGCTACATCGTCTGCTATGCCGGACAAGGAGAGCAATATGCAGGTCCAGCGTGTTTCGACTACGGCGTCGAGTGCGTCTGATCTCGGCGGTATTCCAGGGCTTATTCAACTTCTCGAGTCAAATCGTGAGGAGTTGGGATTGGAGTATTACTCGGTGTCACCGACTACGCTGGATGAGGTTTTCTTGCGGGTTGTGGGCGAGGAGGAAGAGGAAGATGCGAGGAAGAAGAAGAACAAGGGGAAGGGCATGATGGGGAAGCTGAAGTGTTGGTAGAGTAGATGAGCTGGTCAAATAGATGAGTAGCATTTTTGGCGTTTTATATACCATGGGCATTTAGACTGGAGAGTAATGTTATGGTGTGGCAACAATTCCTATGTGCAATGTGTCGCATGAGCTTGAGTGATTGACAAAAAAAACAAAATGGAGATCATCGAGAAAGTAAAGAGGTCTCCAATGGACTGTGGTAGGATTTACACTGAGAATCTCAGCCTACCGTGGGTATCTTATCCAGAACGCCTAAGCAAAACGCCATGAGTTCCATCCCCAATCCAACTACTACAAAAGACCCTTACTCATGATCACATAGTCGGGCTTGATGGTCTTGCTCCTCATGACCCTGGCTTGTGGCGAGCACTCGTCTTTGGCGTAGCCCAGCCTCTTGTAAACCGCCTTGGCCTTGTAGTTGCTCATGAAGACCGTCAGCATCGTCTTGGAGATGTTGAAGCGACGCGCCACCTTCTCGACGAATTCGACGAGGTTCGAGCCCAGGCCGCGACCACGCAGATTCTCGTGCAGGTGCACTTCGTAGATGTAGACGACTTCGCGATCTTGGTGCGGCGGGTCGTCGTGCGTGAACATGAAGGAGATGAAGCCGAGAATCGTGTTGGTGTTGCGTGGAGTAGGCGACGGAGCTTCACTGGTAAGCTGCGGCCTGAGCGAGTTGGGATCGGCAGTCGTGGGAGGCTTGTCTTCATCGTCGTCGGCGTAGGTAGTCACTAGTTGGTCAAGTGCGTTTGGCTGTACTGCAGTCTTTCCCTTCGCACACGTGACTTCCTTTGCAGGGACCTTCTTGACCGTGTTGCCCACTACATCGCCCTGGCGGACCAGCACATACATCATCTCGTGATCACGCATCTCATCTTTCTTCTGCTTGGGATTCCAACCAATGCTTGATGCCTTGTAATCGTCTCCCGATGTCGAGTGAATGATGTTGAAGCAGGCATTAAGCTCTTCCTCCGTTAGTCCCATGGCAGAACCCACAAGCTGGAAGTCCAAGGAGAACTGTAGGTGCGGGGTCTTGTACGCCTGAAGCTGAGGAGCCTCTTTGTCGAGCATAGCTCGGACATAGTCAGCGCGTGCGAGGATATCGGTCATATTGGCTGGGACGGGGATGGACCTGGAACCTAAGTTTCGAGGCGACTGGAAAGTGCTGATAGTGTCTGCGGCTGCAATCATGCGTCGTCGCTTGAAGGAATGCGTGTTGTCGTAGTGTGCTACGTGCTCATCTGCCTTTGACAGCCCACGCTTGATGGGAGCAATGAGGTTCATGAGCTCTTCATCCCCGACGACCAAAAGGGCGGGCAAGCGAGGAGTGTAACGACGCGCCATGACTGATGCCGAGTTTTGTGGCGCTGTTGCCGATTTCTTGCAAGGATGTGGGTGGAAGAGACGCGTCGGGGCGGGGCATCGATATGACTATCTCGGCTTAGCTCCGCGTTTGCCAGTCTTTACGTCAGCTTGCACCAGGAACAGACTTGTCCATCATCTCGTCAAAGTTTGTCTTGATCTTTATAATTACATCCAAGACTTCCAAAACAGAAAACATTCACGCGCTACTGGGGGAATGCTACGCAGGTATGCGACGATAGCCTCAAAGCCACCATCCCGGCTGCGAGCGCGAGGAAAAAGCCCTGTCGGACTCGATCATGTATGTTTATCAATCCCTAGACATGTAGCGACAGTCAATAACAAACTCTCCCCAGTTCATCCAGAGACAGCGTGCCATGGCGTTGTGGAGAGAAATCGTACGGAGCACGGCGAATATCCCTGACGAGACGACAAGGAAAGACATGCGACAGTTCGCTCGTTCTGAATTCGAACAACACAGGAACGTCACAGATCTTGTAGGTGCCTCTTGGATCACTTCTCGAATATGAGCGTTCAGCTAATCGTTTGGAAGGGTCACATTCGATATTTGATATCTGTACGTTCTGGTTCTGCTTCTTTGCCACTCCCGCTGCAAGCTAACACATTTCTCCAGTATGGCAAAACACAGTTCCAGACGATGAAAGGCTCTCTCATCAACTCTGGACTGCTCAATGAATGAATATATATATATATTTCTTTCCTTTCACTTCTCATGTCACCTGCTTTCCATCGTGTCCATTGGTCATCTTACCGAGGGGTAGTTGACTAGCGTGCTTTTTCTCCCCCAACGCATGCAAGCTGTGAGCACCATCAAGACTACGACATCGCGTCAGGGCGGACGCTGCAGCTCCTCGTTCAAAGCTTGGGACCTTCTCCGTCCTACATCGAGCACATAATAAGCGCAGACTTGTCAACGTAGGGCTGGCCACTAGGGGATTTACTCTATCAACCATCACGAAGCTTGCTGTACTCGACACCCTGGTCATCACCTAAGATGAAAACAGTGTGCGTAATTGGCGCAGGTCCTGCTGGCTTGGTTGCTGCCAAAACACTCCTACAGCATGGTGGGTTTTCTGTCAACGTCTACGAAGCAGCGGATCGCGTGGGCGGGATGTGGAGGGGGCGGCCTGGAGACTTCGGCGACAAGTGCAGCCCAGAAATGCGGACCAATCTTTCTCGATTCACAGTCGCCTTCCCGGATCTTTCATGGTCATCTGTCGATCTCTCAGATCCGGTAACAGGAACTCCTGCTCCTTCGACCCCGCCTACTTTCCCAAAAGCATGGCAAGTGGGACGGTACTTGGAGACGTATGCGAAGAAGTTCAACTTGGGCTCTAGTATATCTTTCAACAAGCGTGTCATTCATACCAAGCTTCTCGATACATCCCTGACTTGGGAGGTTACTTGCGAGGATAGTATAACGAAGCAGCAAGAGACGCAATGCTACGATCATGTAATCGTCTCGACCGGTTTCTTCGACAAACCCTCCCATTCATTCGATACCTCGCCAGACAAGAACCTCGCGAACGTCCAGCATTCAATCAAGTTCCGAGAGCTTTCCTCACTCACGAACACGGCTGGCATAGTTGTCGTCATTGGAGGCGGCATCGGCGGTTCAGAAGCAGCAGCGCAAGCCGCCTTCCAAATATCATGTGCTAAGAACTCGCCGGGCAAAATCAAATCTGTTCATGCAGCAAGCAAAGTGTATCATATCACAAACCGACCTTTCTACTGCATCCCTCGCTACCTCCCTCAAGACTTTCCCAAATCCGAGGCCCAAGATCACAGCCTAGCACCGACATTCCTTCCACTCGATCTTGTCTTCTACAACCTTTCACGTCGAGGTGAAGGGATCACTTCCGCAGCAATCACAACAGTCCCGCCTGAAAAGGCAAAGAAGGGCCACGAATTTATGCGCTCTGTCCTCGGCAGTGATCAAAGTGAGCTTGGTCGTCCAGAGCTTGTGTACAAGCCGGACCAGACGCAGTATCCAGCATATACCGGCATCACCGATACGTACACCGAATTTGTCAGAAGCGGTGTCATCGTGCCAATTCAGGGTTGGGTGGACGAGGTCAAGCATGGACTTGGCGATTCTTTCGACATCGTCTACAGGCAATACGAGCCGTGGTATCACGCGCCTGGGCAGGACGCAAATGTACGATACTTAGATTTTTCCTATCCGTTGATTCTAACAAATGACAGAGCAAATTCGAAGTCATCGGCGCGACTGCCATCATCGAAGCAACAGGCTACAAGAACAGCCTCGACTTTCTTGATCCCAGCGTCAAAGAAATGATCCACTACGACTTCAGCTGTTCTCGCATTCCCATCCTCCTGACGCGTGGGTCGGTCCTCGCGGAAGTGCCCACGCTTGGCTTCGTCGGTTTCTATGAAGGCCCATACTGGGGTATGATGGAATTGCAAGCCCGCCTCCTTGCCAACACCTGGACCAGCGATACTGCCGCCGGCTCTAGTCAACTTCCCGATCGCGAGATCTACCGGCTCTCCGATACCGCGCAAATGCGCCAGGCGATACAACGCGACCACTCTCTTCAAGTCCCGCAGTTCTGGATGAGCGACTACATCGGGCTCATCGAGGAGTTCGCACGAGAAACAGGCATGACGCGCTCTGACGCAGCGTTCGGCGGGCAATCTGGTCCCGCCTTCCCATCACGCTATCAAGGACCCGGCACTGATTCCGAAGCCGCCACCGTTGTCCAAGAAGTCGCCGACCTGATCAAAGCCTCGAAAGAGAACCTCAAGTTCGTCGCCGCGGCAGTCTTCAGAGCTATGCAAGGTATCTGGTCTCTCCACCGCAAGATCGACTCGCGCTCCTCGTCGGGCCCAGGAGGAATCTTCTCTGGCACTGCGCACTTCCATCCTCGCACACCCACGGACCCCGCATACACATCCGAGTATCTCTACATCGAAGAAGGGACTTTCACGATGGACACGGGATACACTTTCCCTGCCACGCGTCGCTACATATACCGATACAACGAGACAACGGACAAGATCACAGCGTGGTTTGCAGACGAGGACGGCGCATCTGTGGCATCACTGTTCAATACGTGGAACTTCTATGCGCCGGGGGATAAGCTGCATGGGTGGATGGCTAAGGGACATCATTGGTGTGACCCCGATACGTACAAGAATACCTGCGAGTTTAGGTTCAAGGGGGTGGGTTTGTCGAAGTTCTGCATCACGTATCAGGTTGAGGGTCCGAGGAAGGATTACAGTCATGAGAGTTGGTATGAGAGGCCGAATGTGGAGTGATGGTGTGGACTTTCGGCAAGTATCTTATGCGTAGTTCACATTGGTAGTTGGTAAGAATCCTAACGTTGTCTTACACTGAGGTACAAAATTGGGTAATTTACCCCGCAGCTTTGTCAGGTAAAAAACACAGAAGAAAGACTGCGTTTTACACTGCAATGCGGTGTAAAACGTAAGGTAAATTTATATATAATAGTATACATATTACACACTTTTTTTTAGTTTTACAGATAATTTATATATTTAATAAATTCTTTTTATGTATTTCTATATAAGTTCCTTACTAGCTTGCATGTAAGCTTAAATCTAGCTTAATTATAAGCTTAAATCTAGCTTAATTGTAAGTTAAAATCTAGCTTAATTGTAAGTTAAAATCTAGCTTAATTATAAGCTTAAATCTAAGCTTAATT